ATGTCAGCGTCTTGATGCAACTATTCAACCCTGACGGATGTCCGTGTTGCATCCAAAAAATTGAAGGCGTTTTGACTTCCTGCGAATCAGCCACAGCTGGGTCGATCGATGATGACATCACCTTGAAGCAATTGGATTGCATTTTGCAGCGAGGAACCAAGAGCATTCCAATGTTGCTAGGATTGTGCAACTCACATTCTTCGCAATAAGATTCTGAAATCTTTCAAAAAATTAAATTTACAAAAGTAAGTTTTGTCTTGAATTTATAATTTATTGGGAGTAAAGATAAAACTTGTTTAGATAATCAGTTGGACTTATTTATGATAAAAGGAACTACATATGTGCATAGGGGTTGTGTGCAACATGCCCCACTTGGCATCCAAGCAACCCAACCCATGGGGCTGCTTCCGTTGTATCCGAGAAGTACAACTCCCAAGGGCTGCCCCCCTGCCTGGGCATTCAAGGAGCCCAACCCCCCGGGGGCTATCCCACCTGATATCCAAATAACCCAACCCACGGGGTTGTCCCCCCCCCCCCGGCATCCAAGAAGTCCAACCCCTCGGGGGCTGCCCCACCTGACATCTAAATAACCCAACCCATGGGGCTGCCACCCTCCTCGCCCCCCCGGCATCCAAGAAGTCCAGCCCTCAGGGGCTATGGACATGAACGTCGCGCGCCGCTAGTAATAGGTACCTATGAAGAAATGATACTGGAGGGCCCTAGAATGAAATGCACTTAGCAACTTTTCAAAACCAGCGAATTCCCGAAAATATATAAAAATACAGAATATCTGATTAGCTTAAATATGTTGTAGGCGGGAAACACTGAGGAGAGCGCGTTATACGTAAGGCGCGCCGGATCAAATGAATGGGCCAGAACGAGGTACGAATTTCTGCACTTACGCCCGTTATACGCGAAAAAAGTTCTACTGTCTTAGGTGACCTCCCGATTTCTTTCGATTATAGTCTCTTGCTGGCAGATAGACGGTATCTCCAATAACACGTTTATACAGCGAACTCTAAACTGTCAAAAATCGTGATACGCACTACTGCACTTTCACCATCGACATGTGGCTCAATAAGATCATCATCCATATGCACGTAACTGAAGGCATTATTTCCCTCGCATTTCTTGTACTATTCTGCAGCGATAAACACCGGGACGCGTTAACAACAGCGCCTTGATGCAACTATTCAACCTCAACGGATGTCCGTATTGCATCAAAGAAATTGAAGGCGTTTTGACTTCCCGCTCACTGGCTGCAGCTGCCTATTGATCAACGGACTCGTTGGTGACAGCGCCTTGATACAACTACTTTAACCTTGACGGATGTCCGTATCATATACCGATGATCAAGGTACAAAACCACATATCTCCATTGCGTCGTTTCAAAATTTCCACTCTTACTTTATATTTCCCAGGAGAAACAAGCTAACTTTACAGCTTAAAACTTATAAAAAATATTCTGCTGACAGACGAGAAAAATCACGGAAGTTCTATGTGTACGTTATCTAATTTTCCGAAGAAAAAATAAAGTTAAACTAGAGGTTTGCAACGTCGCAAACGAGAATATGTGGTCTCTTACTTTGGCCATCGATGTGTAAAAAACTGAGGGAATTTTGACTTTCTCCGCACTTGTACTGTTGTACTCGGCTGTTTAATCAGCGTATGTTCCTTCCCAGCAAGACAGAGTAAAAACGATAAAAACACTGCATGCAAATTGTAATCTTCCGTCACATTCTTACGGCGCAATGATACAACTATTTGAAATCTCCGGAATGCGTGAGGTATTACGCCACATTTGAAGGCGTTTTCAAAGCAGCCAAGTTCCGATACCCGGATTATCGTTTTGCAAAGTTCTTATTATTATGTTTTATTTCCTACCATTTGTTCGTTTTCAATCCTCCTATAAAAACTACTCATTTGCTGAATACACTTCCGGCTGGAGCGCATTTTAGCTATGCATTCACAACTACTAAAATGTCAAAGGTAATCGACAAGACTAGCGTGTATGAAGGCTATTTCAATTGTAATCTGCCATCGCGTTTCTAAGGCGCATTGATACAACTATTTGAACTCTCCGGAATGCGTGACGTATCACGCCGCATTTGAAGGTGTTTTCAAAATAGCCAAGTTCCAATACCCGGATTATCGTTTTGCATAGTTCATATTCTTTTGTAATATTCCGTACCACTTGTTTATTTTTAATTCTCGTATAAAAACCACCCATTTGGTACATACAATTCTAGCTGGAGCGCACTTTAGCTGTGCATTCACTACTGCAAAAATGTCAAAAGAAATTGACAAGCCCAGCGTGTATGGAGGCTATTTCAATAATTCCGTCGCATTCCTAAGGCGCACCCTAGTGTAAATATTACCTTGCGGTGAGCTAACCATCACCTTGCGGCAAGGTATCGGCCTTGCCGCCCTCTCCGAGCCCTATCCGAGCCCTCACCGAGCTAGTTCATGGAACTCGACGACCGGGAATAAAACCGTATGACAACACTGTAGACCCAAATCCAGACGCAGGGCGCGGAAAAGGCGACACAGCATCGGGAAATACCCCGTGTTGGGTATGCTTTTCGTCTCCAACGTTGCCATGCATAATTATTCCCAGTCGTTAAGTTCCACGAACTGACCCGGCGAGGCCTCGGATAGGGCTCGGAGAGGGTGGCAAGGCCGATACCTTGCCGCAAGGTGATGGTGAGCTCACCGCAAGGTAATATTTTCTCTAGGGCAATGATACAATTTTTTTACACTCCGGAACGCGTGAGGTATCACGCCACATTTGAAGGCGTTTTCAAAACAGTCAAGTTCCGATACCCGGATTATCGTTTTGCAAAGTTCTATTATGTTTTATTTCCTACCAATTGTTCATTTTCAATCCTCCTATATAAACTACTCATGTGCTGAATACACTTCCGGCTGGAGCGCATTTTAGCTATGCATTCACAACTAATAAAATGTCAAAGGAAATCGACAAGACTAGCGTGTAAGAGGGCTATTTCAATTGTAATCTGCCGTCGCATTTCTAAGGCGCAATGTTACAACTATTTGAACTCTCCAGAATGCGTGACGTATCACGCCGCATTTGAAGGTGTTTTCAAAACAGCCAAGTTTCGATATCAGGTTTGTAGTTTCGCAAGAAATTGGAGCACAAAATCAATAGAATGACTGATTTTACGAGCAAAGCAACTCAATAAATTTGTGTTTTATTTGACGGAAGCGTTAGAAAACAGTTCGGTCAGAAATTTTAATCAACCTAAGGTCCATTATATAGTTCATATTCTTTTGTTTTGTTCCGTACCACTTGTTTATTTTTAATCCTCGTATAAAAACCACCCATTTGCTAAAATCAATTCTAGCTGGAGCGCACTTCAGCTATGCATTCACCACTGCAAAAATGTCAAAGGAAATCGACAAGCCCAGCGTGTATGGAAGCTATTTCAATTGAGGACACCGCACTAAGAACAACCGCGTTTTGAGAAAAACGCATTTAAAGTTTTGTTTTTGATGTATACTGCGCAGACTTTTCTATGCAGGTACCCTGTTTTGGTGTTTTTGGTTGAACTAACCCTTCTATTGAAGGATGCTGGGTAGAATTTGCGATACATTTTGGGTTTATACTCTCATATATTTAATTTAAAAAAGCGGTTTGTAGGCCATTATTACGCCCAACAGTCATTTTGGTGGCAATATGAAGTATAAATCATTTTAATCACTTATGATTAACGCAAAATGGAAGAATATCGATAGTGAGGAAAGGAAGGGGTAACTAGCACCTTATAGGCCCGTTTATAGGTCGTTCTTGCACCCATCGATCCAGAGGCCTGACTTAACTCGGAAAAAAAAGGTTTTTCGACCTCGAGCCGTTACCTATCTATATTCTATCGCTACCACAGCATAGTCCAGGGTACGTAGAACCCGAAAAGCAGATGGGCGTAATAACGACCTATACGCCTATAGGCTGTTCTTGATGCGGTGTCCTCAATTACTATTCGTGTTCCCAAGCCGCTCAAATTGCCATCGCGTGTTTTGAAGGCGAAACGGACAGAGTGAGAGGCACGCAACCAGTGGCGGATCCAAGAAGCCTCATAGTCTCCTCTCCATTCTCTCCAGTATCTGTGATGAATGTCTCGCATGGGAGAAGGCAATCAGAAATTTTTTTTCGCCCTTAAGAATTTTATGAAAATCACTATCCATGGTTTTAGACAAAGCTAGTCAATGAACTTAAACAACCATGTGATTAGTTAGCTATATTGAATAAAAATGGATGTATGATTTTATCTTTAATTTTATATTTAATTTATATGTACTCTAATTTTATTTATATTTCAAAAACCTCAATTTTCCCCACCCCTGTATTCCTCTCACTTATAAGAGCTCACCCTGCTTTTCGTCCAATATAATGGACATTCCGTTTATTGGATATTCTACTGGTTCAATTTTGATCCGTAAGGGCAAAAATATATACTTTCAAAAATTAGCTCAGTGATAATCAGCACTCTGAAAATGTTTTAGGGGGTTCTTCGCCCTCCGCCCCGCCTCTTGAAAATTTTATCAGTGAGTTGTTAATGAATAAATTGATTGAGGTGCACGGCATGTGTTCGGATTCATATTTTTGTCACGTATATTTTCGAATTTTCAGCATAAATTAAGAGTTAGGTATTCATCTTAAAATTGAAAGTAGCAACTTCCAAGATGATATTAAGGTGATTTTTAGTATTTTATCAGCGCTAATTTAAGTACCTTATACTCCCTATTATCAATAGATTATCTTAGCGACCCAATTCTACCATTATAATCGTATCGTTAGATTCTCTCATATAATGTCCCCTTTTCCTGCACAAGGTCCAAACATGGTCTCGCTCAAGCAGCACGATACTGTAAATTCGAATTTCCCTCCTCTTTTCTTGGATATCTCATATCTCATCACTCATCGTCCCCAGGTGAATCTAATTGGTGAGTGGTGTAATTTTCCCCGATTTGTTATTGTTGATGTCATGTCTGCGATAGTGCGATTTCGAATAATTCAATTTTATCGCGAATTTTTTGCCTGATAATGTAGTAAATTTGCAACTTGCAATTGTGTTAAGTTCAATTCCTCTAGTTCTAATGGTCACTTGAAACGGGGGGTTTGTGCTCCATTGCTCAGAATGAGCTCCCAAACTTTGGATGTACTTCGTCAAGGAATTTGGGCATCTTTAACAGGAGGATGGTTTTACGATCCCCATCAAAGTCTATTCTGCAACACTTTCCACCTATATCTATGGCTAATTCTGCTTTGTTTACCTTTTGCTATCTATGTTGTAAGTATAACTTCAATTTTTACTTCCAAATTGACTTCGCAGATTTGATTTGAGAAAGTGAGGTTAGCTCCAAACTAGGTTAACCATTGGATCTACACTATTACAAAGAATTATTCTTATCAGCTTATCATTGCTTGTTAGCCGTATTGTCCTCTCTAGACATTTCTGTCAATCATTAAAAGATGACGGCGTGATTTCAACTGTCATCAGAAGTTTATGGTTCATGTTACGTTCAGGCCCCAATGACAGCTTTTTGGGGCCGAGCCATTTTAGCGAGTATGTATTGAGCCATTTCAGCTTAAAAGTTTAGAAGTCTCATATGGAACTAACATGCGTTTCATTAATCAGCCACTCTCTATAAGAAATGTTCCCCCTATCAGTAAGTTAGAGGTTGGTGTTGAACATCAAACTCAAAAGCTTAAAATCTTCAAACCTGAGTCTATTCTTAATGTACATCTTTGTTTAACAAGATATCAATGTCAGATAGACAACGCCCTGTACTTTTTGTTTCTTTCTGAATGGTTGAAGAAAATCCAACTCAGCTGATCACTCATCTCAAGCTCCAATTTGTCACTTACTTTGGAATTTTCTCACTGCTGAGCAGGCCAGTTTAGTAGAATTGACTAAATAGGCTACACTTACAGAGAGACAAGCCCACAAGGATCCTAAGTTGCATATTTTGGAAAGTAGAGGTGTCATCAGCTAAGTTTACGGTTGTTTACTTTTGGTTTGCAAGCGCCAACGACAAATTTGGGCCTCTGCACAAAGCGGCGTTTGCTACCATCCACCTTGAAAACATCCGTCTCATGATCGTATCAGAAAAAAACTACTTAAGAGTTATGATTTGCAACTTTTATGTAGGTATGATTTCTGTGTGGCTAAAAATTCAAGTGTTACAGGGTTTGAAAATATTAGAAAACTTATCTAAGCTTGTGTTCTTGCCTCTGCGAGAGTCGGATGTTTTCATGTGGATAGTAGTGACACGGAAACGCTTGCAAACCGAAAGTAAACAATACCGCCAACTTAGCTGATGACACCTCTAATTAGTCTCAAGGTTTGCAAGGAGAACTTCTGCCAAATTTTTTAAATAAATCCTAAACCAAGTCACAAGCTCTACGCACCATTTTCATTTTAACAATGAAGCTTAAAGCTAAAGTCAACATGGCAGATTCTTAATACTGTCCTACAAGTCGGCAGTGAAATTTTGGTAAACATACAGAAGGCCCACTTTCCTTGTTATTTAACATTTAAAGTGAGCTTTCACTCTCTCATGTATATTTTAAGAAGACACTGAGGAGAAAATGACAACTGTAGGTAAGACGATGTTCCGGCAAAATAATATAGATTTTGATCATAGGCTTAAACAGATCTTTGACAGATTTGCTTTCACCGTGTGCAAGTCCATGCTTACACCTCCAATGTTATCTTGGTTCTATTTTGTGTCAATGCAGGGGTACAAATTTTTTTTTGACCGCGGGTTCGGGACCAAATTGCGGACATGCCCTAAAAATTGCAGAGGCTGAGCAGTTTTTTTTTCAGGGTCTTGGGGTTTAATCAGCACTTCTCATTGATCTGATTTTTGTCAAAACCTTGCGTGTAACAAAACTTTGATCAGTGCGTTTTGCTGATATTTTTTGCAAAAACCTTGCGCGTTGCAGTAAATTGCGGATGGCCTAGAACAATTTGTGTCCCTGTGCAAATGGCTCAGAGTTGATACAATGAAGAAATATATTTTGTTACTGTTACCACACCAATTATTCTATTACTAAATATATCTAATTTTTCTGTTTGTAGTATGCACCACCATCAATATTCATTTGGGGCATATATACGGCCATCATCAGTATTCTTTTTTCCATGATAAAACTTGTAAATAACACTTTACACAAAGTTTTCGACACAAATGAATGTCTTATTGAGGAATTAGAAGATGATAGCTCAGGTCTTCGCTCGCGGCAGCCATCTTGTCTACAAAGGAGGTAATTATATTTACCAAACTTAATAACCCAGTTTTAATTTTGAAAACGCAGATTAAAAAAGGTTGTGTGGCTTTTGAATGTTTTAAATCCTATCCCCTTTGATATGAAAGCTTAATTTGTTCTTGAAGAAAATCTCAATCAAGACAAATTCTTCATATCTACTCACAGTTTAAGTAAGCATTTTGGATATTATGTAGAGCTAATAAAGAAAAGTCACTTAGTAGGTGCAAGAGATGAATTTTCAAAAATCAGTGCTCATGCTAAAAAATTGTGTTTTGCAAAAAACGTTTCTTTTTAGAAAACTGCCACTAGATACTCATAAAATGCAATTTTGTAAATTAATGAAAAATATTATTCTGTTACATTAATGTTCAAATTCCAATATCAGGTAGGTTATACCAGAATATTAGGATCTGTTTTAAAGGTTTTTCTAATACAAGTAGTATTGACTAGTAAAATAATGATGTCAAAATTACCTCAAAAGTGTATCATTGGAGATTTTTTATCACAAGACACTGCAGAAACAAGTATCTTTGTTTGTGACAATGCAGACTTCCTGCTGTACTCTATTTCATACCAAAAACGTACTCCATACCATTCCTTGAAAATTTTAGGGTTTTTTTTTCTTTCTATAAATGAAGGAAATTGTTTCAAAATTTCAAGTCTTGATGATGGTTCGGGCTCTTGCTAAAAATAAAAAGTGAACATTTTGAAACTCTGCAATCAAGACACGTTTTTCTTGCAGTTTCACCTTCAATCCTGTTACTTGAAATATTTTCTCGAAACTAATTACAAAATTTTGGATTTTATTTCCCATCTGTATAGGGAAGAAGAAGGAATTGAACTCCAAGTGTTAAGAAGTGGAGCTAAGTCTGCCACTGAAATCAACAATGTTAGACCGTCTGGTGGCTCTGATGACAGTGTTGATTATTCAAGAAATAATGTGAGGGATCAAGCAGCCAGTACAATAGGTAAAGTAATCTTTCCTGTGGATTTCCCACTAAGTATTGATGATTGTTTGTATGTTGCATTTATTTTTCAAATTTAATGTTCAGCATGGCCCTTAGTCACTTACTTTGTCCTACATACTTTCATGTTCATTAAAAATTACTGCATTTCTGCCCCTTCAGGGTGTCTACAAGTCCGGAATTTCAGGAAAGTCCGGAAATAGTACCGATTTTTTAGGGGGGGTCTGGAAGTACTATAAAAGTGCGGAAATTCCGCCAAAGGTCCGGAATTTTTTTCATTTTTTGGTTATTTCTGTCTCAATTTGAGTGAGAAATTCCAATTTTTGACATTTTTCGAATCTCATTATATGGAGGTACTGAAAAAGTACTGAAATTTTCTATTCTACTTACTTACTAGAACTAGTTAGGTACTGAACTTTTTGGGAATGTACTGAAAAAGTACTGATTTTTGACCCGCCTGTTTTAGTAGACACCCTGCTTTTGTTTTGACAGTTGATGTAGATCTCCAAAATAACAGCAAGACAATTTGTGGAATTATCAGTCAGGATGTTAAAAATTTGCGCAACAACTATGAGATGTTGATATTGAAGGCTCTGGCTGTTAATACAGTGTTGCGAGGTCACATGAACAGCCAGAGAATTTAAATCAAGGTACCCGAGTTGTCCTACCTAATTTTAACATAGCAGATGTTAATTCAGCAAATTTTTTGTCTGATTCTAAGGCAAGGATCTCGATTCTATTATATTGGTTTACCATGAGGGAAGAGTTATACTCTATTGAATATGTTATCATTTCAAGGGGTGGATTGTCTTTTTCACAAAAATATTCTTCCGAGTGTCTATATTAAATGTATATCAAAATGCGTTGCATTCTGATAGTGATGAAAAAATTGACAACATATCAGATTGCAAAAAAATCCAAGTAGGTATTGCAAATTTTGGGTTTTTTTTTTTTTTTAATTTTCAAGCTAAAGCTGACTAGGAGTCAATGAAAGCAAAAAATTTAATGCAGTAAAGTTGGCAAGTTCTCCAAGCGGAATGTAAATTTCCCTTTTTGTAACTCTTCTATTTGTCACAGAAATAAGTGGGGTCAGCAAAAATGTCTTAAATATATTTAAGATTCTGATTTTTTGCAATTCTTCCGGCAAGTTTTTTCTGGCTATAAATAAAGATTATAATGAAACACATTTCTATGTTTTATGTTCACAAGAAACATAGGCTCTCACGTATCTGTTTTACCTAGTTAGATAGTGAGCTCTCATTTCTATTGCCTCTTATTTTGTGATGAATCGTTTTTTTTCTAGATTTGAAAGTTGATGTCCATCGGAAAAATAGTTCGGAGAGTAGCGGAGAAGAGCAAACTAATCTTAACTTTGGTATCACCAGGCCAGCAAACAGTGAACTATGTCTGATGAGAGTACAAGGTACCATTCATCCCTATTAATTGAATCCTATTTGTTTTCTCAATTTTAATTGAGCAAGTAGTAATAAAAGACTGACGATAACAGGACTAGTGGAACGGATCTGAAATTTCCGAACAGAGTTGTTAAATGCACCATTTCTCTCTGTAAATTACTTGGCAGTCAAACTGCCACTGTTTTTAGCACGGTTCTATTTTAGTTGTTGCTGATTTGTGCTTATTTTATTTCTTATGTTTCAACCAGGTGTATCTTAAGGTGATTCGATGGACGCCATATTTTGTGTCAAAACAACATGCAATATATTGCATCCGTTGGTTCCATTTTTTCAGCTACTCGCCATTTTTCTCGAATTTTGAGATCGCAATTTTGTTGTTAGTAGACTGAAAAATTCACTCACCAATTTTCACTAACAAATTCAACGGAATAAAAGCATGGTTTTTTCAGTGGAAGAATATCGCATTTGATACTGATAATGAAACTTCACTTGAATCCGATATTTTCTCCCTAATAAAACCACCCCTGAATTATGGTAAATTTGTTTGTCAAAATTGGTAAGTGAATTCTTTAGTCTCCTAACAACAGAATTGCAATCTCAAAATCTGAGAAAAAAAAATGGAACTAATTGATGCTATATATTGCATGTTGTTCTGCCACAAAATATAGCGTCCATCGAAACACGATAACAATGCTTTTGCTTGACTCCATATTTTCTCATCGCTTTTAATTTTTAAAACTTTTAATTATCTATTTAATTTTACTTCTAGGTAATACAGGAGTTATCATCCCCTTGAAAATGGAACACATTTCTGTTAGCATGCCAATTGATTCCATTTCAAACCAAACAAGTAGCTTACCAGCAATTCAAAAAGTTGAGCCCATGAAAAAAACACATCGTCGCAACACTGCCATCCTACCCCTAGACGTAAGTATTGAGTCTCTAAAAATTAACCCAATCTAACCTACCCCAGTTACAAACCCTCTTCTTAAAATATTTATTAAAAAATGAGAAAAAATCTCAGAAAATTTAAAGAGAGTGTAGGTCAGTTTTCTTTTAAAGAATAAAGTATGAGGAGACATGCAATATCGCTAGCAGGTAGTTGAGTTCTGATAACTCTATTGGCACTCATTGATTTGTGATGGATTAATTGCTTAATCGATGTTTTGATTTACTTTTTCTAACTGATTTCACTGTAGACTATGTATCTTTTTAATAAGAGATTTTCTGTTAAAAAATATGAAAAAAGATTATTTTTATTATTTTTTAAAAAGGTAAAAATTATACAGTAAAATTGGTAGGAAGAAGTCTCATCCATTGCTAAATCACTGTCTAATACTCACATATTTCTACTCTAGCCATCAATATTTGTTATTCTTGTACTGTTTAGTACATTTATGTACTTTGCAATTCAGCATTTCTCATTGTTATGTTCGTTATTTGCAGAAAAACATGTCATTCGCCATCAGATCCGTGCCACACAGTGTCACTTGCATTGGAAGCAGTGGCCGTCGAAGAAGATATTCTCACGACATGCGATTGACTGAAACTCGACTCCCTGACCTACCATCAGAAGATTATGGAGAGTTGAATGCTGTGGATTACCTGAGAGCTCATACCGCAACCGATGGATTTGGTGCTGCCGGCATCATAGATGATGGTAATAGAGCCTTTTCTGTTATTTCCCTCATTCTCAAAATGTGACATGCAGTTTATTTTTCAAAATGGAGGACTAATAGGTATTGTTAGCATTGGATCGACCTTTTCATTACCTCAGTGACTGATCCTTTTGAAATTGATTTGGCACGGAGTAGAGAAACTATTGAGTTTGTGCTATAATTGTGCCTAATGAATTAGCGGAATATGCTGAAGTCTTGATTCTCTCCTTTGCATTCATTTAGAAGTTTATTACTTGAAATAAACTCAGAGGCACCAGCTCAGCCAAATCTTAGAGATTATTACACCTGGATTGAAAAGGGGGAGGGGCAATTGGCCTTGGAAAAAAAAAAAGCAGAAACATCACTGTATTTCATCATGTTTTATAAAATAAAATGGTACGTAACTTTACATTTTTTCATTCCTGCCTAACATAAATTTATTTTAATCTCTTCATTTCTAGAACTCAAAAACCGCCATGAACGAAGTTTGCCATCCGGAAGAGTACGCTACTATCTTCATGGATCCTCAGCCTCTCAAAGATCTCGCTCTGATCCTCTATCCTTTACCAAGCTCCGCAACAAAATATTAACACCTATAGTCTATTACCTAAAAACAGGAGATTTTGAGCATCCAATTAGAGAAACTAATACGGATGCCCTGATGGATCTGGATGGAAGGAGTGGTGGAAGGTCAAGTCGGAGAACTCCACGTCCAAATCACAGGAGTGGTCGCTCAGGTCAGCGGAGCAATCGATCAGGTCACAGATGTCCTCGCACAGGTCGGAACACTAGATCCAAAGCCCTTGTACATGGTGAAGAAGGACAGGCTGTTAAAAAACAAGACATGAGCCGAGAATCACAGGAAGAGAGCAGTAACAATGATGAGAGAAATAAGACCCTTCTCATGGATAATAGCAAGAATAAGAATGAAAAAGTGAAAAACGATGAAATCTTACCTGAGGATAAACTTGCTGATTATGAACAAGGTATGAGTTGCTTTATTAGATTATTATTTTTCTAATATTTTTAGGAAGCATGTACCTCATTCTACCAGTAGACGCTCCCCCCCCCCCCCCCNTGTTTAGCTGATTAAAGATACAATTTGACCCTACTGCCCTCTGAACAGTATTCGAAACTCACAGGTGCTAACGCGCCAAATGATCCTAAGAAATCGGTCATGGTGCCTCGCCATGGAGGCTCTGCGCCAACGTGGCCCCTAAAAAAATCCTAATTTTTCTGTATTGTGATTTTTCAAAACTTCCCCCAAGTTATGGCTACTAATTCTGTGACTTAAGCATCTTGCGTCTAACTTTTCACTAAATGCCCTATGATATATAGGCTGAAAGTAAATTTGGCCACCAAAAAATCTTCAATAGCCCCTAAAAATCAAGCTCTCTGCGCCACATGGCTCCTTAAACTCAAATGTGAGTTTCGAACACTGCCCCAGAATTCATATAATGTTTTAAATTGGCTGAAATTTTCTATAAATGATTTTGCTTAGAAATTGAACTATTTCATGGGTGTCATTATGTAGTAAAATTTTCTCAAACCCATTGTAAATTTGACCCCCTCAACAGGGTGTCTACTAGCCCGGAATTTCCAGAAATAGTGATTTTCTAAGGGCAGCCCAGAATAAGTGCCCAAAAAAGTGCGAAAATTCCGCGAGAGAGTCTGGAATTTTTCCCGTCATGTCATGCAAGATTTTTATGAAGCCTAGAAAGTTTGCAATCCCCTCGCTTGATTCTTAGATTTGTATTTTCTTGCAAGATTGCGATTGTGTAGTCAAATAATCCTTAAGCCACCCATGAAATTTTATGGCTACGTAATTTTTTTTTGCAATTTGAGCAAGGATTTCAAATTTTTGAAATTTTTCAAATCACGTCAAATGGAGGCACTGAAAAAGTACTGAATTTTTATGTTTAGGAAGTACTGAATTTCTTTGGAATGTCCTGAAAAAGTACCGTAAAAGTACTAATTTTTGGCCAGCCTGTTTTAGTAGACACCCTGTTCAAGATCTCCTATCTCCTGTCTGGTTCCGGTCTCGCAGGACCGTATCCTCCCTGACTTCCAAACTAATTTGTGTAGCTTCATGCAGAGAAAGCAAGCCATATGAGTAAATTTTATCATCCTTCCTCTGTCTTAGGTGCCATTGGTGGAGTAAGTTGTGAGAACGATCAAGAGGATGGAGCCATATGCCACAGTGCTACAGCAAGTGACATAGTGGAAGATTGCAACCAAGCGATAGCTTTAATGGGTGATGCAGATGATGCTGATGATGCAGATGATGACGATGATGATGAAGATGATATTGAGGATGATGATGATGAAGATGATGATGAGGACGATGATGAGGATGATGATGATGAAGACAACGATTATGATGATTACACCGATGGGGATGGCGATGATGAACAGGAGAAAAACGATGATGAAAATAACGGCAGCAGATCACCCCTCCTTTGCGTTGGAGTCAGCGGAACAATCCCCAGCACAATAGCTCCTGCCTGTGTCTCAGTAGATATAGATGATGCTGATAGTTTGCCTGAAAGAGCGGGCCCGGATATCACAGCAGACGTCGCCAAGTATGGTAAAATGTGGCTTGATGTTGTGAAAAAGCGTATTGACTCTTTGAATGGGAGGCTACCGGCATCGAAAGATGTATCAGTTTGCCCATGTTCCGCAGCAGGACTCTCAGACAAAAAAGATCAAGGTGACGGAGGGCCTTTTCCATCGTCTCCTCTTTTTATTTTGCCGCCCTCGCCCCCTCCTAGATCTCCTTTCTCACTTCCTTCAGTGACAGATGCAAAAGGAATACAAGGTGCAACTCACGAATCGGGTGTTTCTCATGTAAATGAAAAGAAAAGTCAGAGTCTTGATGCAATGTCAACTACTGTTACCATTGATGAAAGTGAGTTTTCCTCTTCATAGCTCTTCTTACATTAATTTTTAAGTATGCTATTCTACCCTGTGTACAGAGATTTAAATCTTATCAGATTTGAACCAAAAATACTAAATTGAACGAATAGTTTTTCATATCTTGCAATCGCTTTCATTTGTTGAAAAATTGAGTTCAGCAGAGCATTCCTGAATTTAAAAAGGTCACCTTTTTCCTTGACTTAAGTTTTTGCTCACTCAATTAGCAGGCATAGTGATGAAAGGTTAATTTGAAATTTTTTTAAGGCTGAAAAATTTATAGATGTTGAATATATTTTTTTAAAGAAAAATCAGACTGATTGTTTCTCTAACATCAGAACATAAGGCACCTATATTTCCATTTACGAGCATTTCAATGCGCCAATAAAGTAATTGTGAAAAAGAGTATGTGACGGATTTGTCCGATGCATACTTGGTGCAAGTCCAATGGTCTTGTAGTGCAAAATATTAAGTTTAAAACCTTAATAGTCCAAACCCTAATGAGATAATTAAAGGTAAAAATATGAGAGATTTTTTTTTACGCTTTAAAATACCTTGTAGTTTACATTTCCCAAATTTTGAACTAACTAGGTTTTTTTTTACTGTCTCTTTTCACAGGCTTTGATCAACAATATGGAAAGAAATCAGATTCTCAGTCAGAATTACCAGGCCTCTTTGATTGGTTATTCAGAAACACGGACAGTGAACCAGATAGTTGCAAAGCTACAACCGGTATGTAGTTAATATTGTTTTAGTCTGAATTTTATTCAGAGGGAAATAATAATATTTTTGGTTGTGATCTTTTGCCTATCTTATCAGCTCACAAATGTCACAACAACCATACTTGAATGATTTTATGAACTTTGTTTTTAAGAAGTTTTCAATCAGGCGTTCAAGACAGTACCATCTATGCAGCACCTTGATTATTTTAAGCTTGAAAGGGTTTCATAAAATGATGATCTGTCAAATCAGTGAATTGTATGATATTGGAAAGGATGCTAAAAAGTAAGGTGTTAAAAGTTGGTGCATGTATTGAGTAGATGTAAGAAAAGAAAAGGCACAATTCGTCTACCGACACTAATGTCTGTTCGTATAACCGCTTTATCTTCACTCCATACAGAAGTCACCATATCTGCACCTTTGCCCTTCCCCTGAATAAATTCCTCTGAAGTAAGTTTATCAAAAGTTGATCACATGAAACTGAGATCTTTGTCAGAAAGAAAATCTGCTGCACTGTCCTCAGGAAATATCCACAGCTAGTAATTTTAGATTCTCCCGAGAATAGATCTTTAAGTAACAGATTCAATGAGAGTGTGGATTTCCATCCAACCATTTCTCATGGCTCACATAACATCTTGTTTTTTTTTTTTTTTTTTTTTTTTTTTTTTTTTTTTTTTTTTAATTGATTCCAAGGTAACATTTAGGTTCAGCATTGTGTGTCAATTATAGGTAGAGAGATTAACTTCTGGGAGTCTGTGAAGCAGTTGTCCTGTATCTAAGTGAAAGTTGAAGTAGTAGCCTCATTTTGAGCCTTTGGACTACAACATCTAATTTTCCGTACTGATGTAGTCACATATTGTTTTCCATCAAGATTTACCGAGCAAAAGAGTTTAATTTCATCATTACTTGTGCTTTACCTAGCATGAGTAAAATTGAGACAGCACCGAAGAGTAATTGTGTATTTTTCCTGTAATAAACTCAAATATGTTCCCATTGCGTTGAGGTAAGCTCAGTTTTTACATGACCAGTAATTTTTATGAATGAACTTGTTATGGACGCTGCGCCCTCTCCTGTAGCTGCCTCCTCTGCTGTGAAGATTAAAAAGAAACCGAGATCAAAAAGTACCTCTTGGTTTTACACTGTTTCTGATGATGATTTGGCAACTCCTAAAACTAATTTTCATTTAACGTCTTTTAAGTCGAGTGGTAAGTTGTCCTCTTCAGCTGAAAGCCAACTATTATTTGTTCGTTTTATGTTTGCTTTATTTCCCTCAAAGGAAACTAATCCAAATGCATCCTTGCAAACTCTGTGAAACCTTTCAGAATTGATGAAGAAAATTAATGTTTCTATAAAAATAAGAACCCATGAGTGGATACTTACAACACTGTAATCTGAGGTATGCATTTTTCGACTTCAGCTATCAATATGTACATTTTTTGGTTGATGCTTGGTGTGGAAATGGGAATCAGCTAAAGCCATGATCAGTCGATCGTAGTGCCTGCAAAATTGCTGAAGAGCAATTACTTGGAGGATCGGTTAATTTTTTACTTTTAGTCTGACTCTTCATTTGTGACTCTTAGTATCTCATCATGAATCAAGGAATATTCAGAAGAATTGTTGATTTTTAAAGTTCAAAAATAATCTTCGAACTATGCATTTTTGTTACAGGAAAGAGTAAAGTTGCAAGTGATGAAAATTCTCACAGTGAGTGCTCAAGACAGCCGTGTGTATCCACTACAAAAAATGAGCCTGACACTTGTTTTTGTTCGAGTATAAACAGTTGTGATAGAGTTTTGAAGTCAAGTGTTCCAGCTACCACCCAGCAGAATCTCAACGGTAATATTTTACATTTCTGCCAGTTAAAATTTAGCTTTTGAGAATGAGTTTTCTTTTTTTTCAATGGTCGAAAAAAAATTTTCTTTCTCTCACGCCTGATGTAAAATGAACTTATGAATGCAGTGGTTCTTTTCCTTTCATGATAATTTGTGCCATATTTCTATCCATTAAGATTATGATGGATCACAAGATACATGGAGCCTAACCAAGCTTTCAAAAGACCTGTTTCCTCATTAAAATTCCAAGCAGATTAAATCGAAAATGTAGAGAACCTCCACAATTAACTTTTAAGCGAAGAATCAGCATTTCAGTATTAATTCTATTTTATAGTTAACATTCAAACAGTTAATTCAAAATTTCTGTTGGTGAAAAAACCATAATCAACTCAGGTCAAAGAGTAATTGATAAAAATCCATCTGGAGACAAGTAACTGGAACTTGGTGCAACGCACATTTTCCTCCTCCATCGGTAAAAATGTCTCTAATTCTGTCAAGAAGCGTTAGTAGCCAAGAAGTAAATTTTTCCATCGTAAAATGTACCAAAATTAGTCTAAACTTGATTTGACTCCTGCAGGTTTAAGTTTTTTGTGAGCAGGACATGTGAATTGAGGCACCAAAAAACACTATTTCCTTGCTCATTACTTAAATTAGGAAAACTTTAATGCGTCCATTGTCTTTTTTGTAAAATTCCATTAAAAAAACATATTGTGATACTTCAGTTTGTACCCTTTCTAGTGTTCCATTGAAAGTCATTTATTTTCGCCAACGTCTTTGACCTCAATCATTTCGATCTTAATACTCAATGATGTGCTATTTCGCTCCTCCTACAATTTCGACGGTGTAAGTTGGCAATCACATAACTCGGTTTGCGACGTTTCAGACTACCTGTCATACCTTATTTTTTAAAAGGAAAAGTACTCCATGGCAATTCTTTAAAAGTGCCGTGATTTTTCCTCTCTGTGCAAAGAAAATTCTGCATAAACTTCAAGGAATGATGTCAATTTGTTCTCCTTTAAAAAAATAATACAGAGGCGGAGATTTTCAGACACCGCAAACAAGATATGTGATAGCAGACGTTCGCCATCAATTTGCCATTATGATTATCGTGGAGATAACCCCAAGTTGTTGAATGTTAATTTTAATTTCCAGACCCCAGAGGAACTCGTAACTATCCAGATGTCTTGAGTAATTCGCCTAGTAGCTCAGGAATTAGCACAAGTGGAAATGAGAATAAACCATGTAAATGCCCGTCACTTCAGGAGCAAGAAAAGACCCCAAAACAGAGCACTGGTGCAATACCAAAGTCCAGACTCCACAGACGTAAGTTTCTTTACTATCGTACCCTTTCTGCAATTTTTTTTTTTTTTGGAGGGGGGGGAGGAACTTTTCCTTTTGAATGGGTCAATGTAAGAGTTTAAAATACTTAGAAAGTTAAATTTTACAGGACATTTATGAAAACGTCTACCTAATGAGCATAGTATCAAATGGACGTTAATTATGTTTAATTAAGCAAATTTTAATTTATATTTCCAGATCCTAATCAAGTCTTAAAGAAACATGCTTCTACATCAACTTCATCATCCCTTTTAAGTCACGATCCAAAACAGTCCATGGAAGTCCGGCGTCGAACGAAACCAAGAAAAGGTAAGTTTATTTTCGTAAGAAACTTTTCAAAGAAAATATTCACACAAAAAGCTACAATCAAGTTCCAGATTAAAATCTTAGATTTGTTTGGTGTTTAGTAGCCAGATTTTTGAAGTAATGACTGTGAATTTATCTCTCTTACAGTGGGATGTGTACAAGTGGTTTCTACTGAAGTAGATTTGCTTTATTGATTGGTTTGACCGCATAATATCTGTTTTGTGTCTTTACTTTTCTATGTAAGAAATGCAGTTAGCTCAGCTTTAATCTGAGTCGCTGAATGGACAAACAAATCTTTTTAACCAACTAACCAGTCATGCCACTCTTACGCATAGTATTTTCATGTCTTTACAACAAAGACAACATTTTAATAATTGGCCTGAGGATTACCCAGAAGGTATTTTGGTTTTCAATTGATGTTTCAAACTATGTATAAATGAAAAATGAAAAAACTAACATTGTTACTCTTCAGTTCTAATCGCGCTCATCTTGCTGAAATTATTCCCAAGTACCCTCTAAAAATACAGCTGGAGAGCTCTCTATCAAAGCTACGATCAACTTGCTACCTTCTCATTTTTGTCTTTTTATTTCCCTTTTGCCTTCTAGTGAAGAGATTTATCAGTTTTTAGATTTTAAATATTGAACATTTAAACCAAGATTTTAATGTTTTCGACTTCATTTGTCTGCAGAGGCATTTTTTAAACTTTATTAACATATTCACTACTTGCGCACTGAAAATCTCTTTTCGGTGAAAAAAAGAGTCTTTGTAGGTAGTCCAATAGTTTTGTATTCTGTAAATCTTTATCAGTTGTAACTTTTTTGTTTTCAGCATCAAGTAGACCTGCAGTGGAAAGTCTTTTGAAAGCAAGTGGCGAAGAAGAGTTCACAAACAAATACCGCCACCCAACCCAACAAAACCGTGACACAAGTGATTTGGCTGAAATCCAGTCTCAGATTGATCAAGTCGCAAATGAAGCTTCCTCTTCTGGCTCCAACAATGAACTGAGCTCCCTTCTTCCAAAACCTCCCCTTTGGCCTTTATCACCCTCTTTTCTGAAGTCCTCAACCTCTTCCACCTCTTGCTCTCATGTTATCGGAGGGTCCTCCAGTTCCAATGACTTTAAGCGGTCCGAGCGACTGTTAAAACGTGCCTCTAAAACATACAGGTAAACTTAGTCACTCAACCAATGAAATTAGCCTAAGTTCTATAATTTACTGTAGTAATTCACAATGGGAGAAAATATGTTTTCTTCACTGTACAATCAAAGAAGTTTGTGTCTCTGACTTCGAAACAAAATTAAGAAACCATAGTTTTGCATTTATTTGCCTAATAGTCCAGTCAATTTAGCTCTAAATAAGGGTCATCTGGGAAAATCCATATATAGAAGGTTTTTTTGCGGAAACATGTTGCATTAGGCTACCAGAACAACATATCAAAAGTTGTCCGCTAAGGCCGCCATCTTGAAAAAAGGGGGGCGGGGGGCCAAAATACGCCGCCGGCGACCGGTTTTTAGCTTACATCTTGAAAAATATCGATCCTACGGAAAAATGTCACTGGACCTTTTAAAAAGATCATAAAATTTCCTATTAGAAACACTATACATTTATCAAGTTGCGACTTCTGGTTCGTGAGATATGGCGGTAGTTTCCTGCGGCTAGGAAAGTCAAATCTTGCGAGAAATCACGGTTTTTCAACAAAATCTGTAATTATCTTAAAAACGGCGAGTCTGAGGCAAAAAAGTGTTCTTACCGGAATGAAAGAGCATGAAATTTCCATGCTAAAAATGCTTATGAATTCACTAGGGGGTCCGCCCCCGGAGCGCTATGCGGTCCGAACCAACGGCGGCTACGACGCGGTGAGGCTCGGCTTAGCCGCGCCATGCATTGTTGGGGTCCAAGATGAAACGGCTTCACTTTTTTGGTAGATATACCGCGAGGGTAAGTCATATTATTATCCATTTAAATATGTGCTAATTTCCTTTCATCATGAACCCCCCCCCCTTCCCCCTTTAGGTCATGCATGTTGTATAGTTAACAAATGTCAACGGTCGCGCTTGAAGATAATGTTATTATTTTATGCTTTCTCATTCAAATTAAATTTGTCTAACAACAAATCTTCTTTTTTCAAAGTAACTAAAAGGAAATGAACTAATACAAAATATAGAAAGAGGGAGTTTAAATTCATCCTCTGCTTCCTCTTCGATCAGTGTTTCTGCTTGATTGCTGCAACCCAAGCCGGAACAATGTAGACAAATGTCACTGCATGGTAGACCAGCTCTTTTACAAGAGCAGCGGTTACTACAGCCTTTCGAACATGTACATGAGATGATTTGTAAAAGTTCTTGGGGGGGGGGGGGTCAGGCGGGTTGAGCATAGGCACAAGGAGAAGCCTGAGTTCCGAAGATATCCACCCCCATTCTTTGGGATTCCGTTTTCTTCCTCTCCAGAGTTGAACTTGATAATATACACGTAAGAAGTGTTGTTTGCATGCATCTGAAGTTGGAGGCAACGTTTGCAGTTTCACCTCAGTTTTTGCCTTGCCAAAGCACGATTAAAACATTGAAATCTGCATTTGTTCAAAGCAGTAACTGATTTTTCAGCACCATACAGCAAAAGAACGAGTTACTCACCCGCTTGACAAAGCTCATCTTGAGTGCAGTCGGTTTCATCAAATTTCTCAGCAATACAAGAGACTTCGCCACATTTTTCCAACAGTTTAATAAATTAGCCTTTGCCCCTGCCACGAAATGCTGAAGTAGTATCACATCCACTGACGACATGGATAAACAGAATGCTCTTCTTCAAATTTACATTCGATGTTCGCAATTGATTTGAGCTAAAAATTTGGGCTGCATATTTGCCCTTACCTGGTTTGAGTAATAGGACGTTGCTTGATGCAGGCGTCAAAGGTATCATTAGAACAAGGAGGTCAGTGTCTTCACCAACGATTAGAGTACCTATATTGAGAGAGTATGGCCACCGGTGTTACCACCTCTGATTGGCTCAGCCATCTTAGGCTGAATGGAGCCCTTAGGACCCAAAAATGGCGGACGCCATAAATTAATGTGATGCAAAATGACTCAAATTGTAGTTTTCTTTGCTCATCGTAACGAGAAATTTACCCAAATGCACTATTGCGATCCTTTACATATTTTTAAGGCTAATCGTGTGCAATTTTTAAGAAAAATTATCTTAGATGTAGTAAGGTTGGCAGCAAGTGCGGTTGGTGAAAACCGTCAAAAGTTGGCAATGACCCCCTCCTATCCACAAAAACCAAAACAAAGCACCGCCATTTTTGGGTCCTAAAAGTCTCTCCATGGGGCCCAGTGGCCATACTCTCTCAATATAGGTACTCTACCAACGATAACAACTTGTTTCTTCGTTCCTCTCGGCAGACTGAGAGCTTCCTTTACGATGAGAGTATCCGCATCGTCCTCTGCTTGAGATACTTTAACTTGACTCCCTGTAGTAAAGTGTTTCGATAGCAAGCAAATCAAACGCGCCTCATTCTTTTCATTATAGATAGAAGCAAGTCCTGGGCCACGGATAGAGGAGTGTCCTCACAAAAAATTAAGGCAGGACATTTCTTAAAGCTATAACGTCGTCACCTTTCAACGGTTTTTGTAGAATCTGTTGCGCTTTTTGTTCGTATCCATCAAAAACAATTGAACCTTCAAGACCATCATGCTTTTCAACACATAGGTATTAATAAACGATTCCACCGCACACGGTAATAAACGAAGAAATGCTTGTCTAATTCCTATGTCTATATTTTGTATTAATTCATTTCCTTTTAGTTACTTTGAAAAAAGAAGATTTGTTGTTAGACAAATTTAATTTGAATAAGAAAGCATAAAATAATAACATTATCTTCAAGCGCGACCGTTGACATTTGTTAACTATACAACATGCATGACCTAAAGGGGGAAGGGGGGGGGGTTCATGATGAAAGGAAATTAGCACATATTTAAATGGATAATAATATGACTTACCCTCGCGGTATATCTACCAAAAAAGTGAAGCCGTTTCATCTTGGACCCCAACAATGCATGGCGCGGCTAAGCCGAGCCTCACCGCGTCGTAGCCGCCGTTGGTTCGGACCGCATAGCGCTCCGGGGGCGGACCCCCTAGTGAATTCATAAGCATTTTTAGCATGGAAATTTCATGCTCTTTCATTCCGGTAAGAACACTTTTTTGCCTCAGACTCGCCGTTTTTAAGATAATTACAGATTTTGTTGAAAAACCGTGATTTCTCGCAAGATTTGACTTTCCTAGCCGCAGGAAACTACCGCCATATCTCACGAACCAGAAGTCGCAACTTGATAAATGTACAGTGTTTCTAATAGGAAATTTTATGATCTTTTTAAAAGGTTCAGTGACATTTTTCCGTAGGATCGATATTTTTCAAGATGTAAGCTAAAAACCGGTCGCCGGCGGCGTATTTTGGCCCCCCGCCCCCCTTTTTTCAAGATGGCGGCCTTAGCGGACGGCCGATTTTGGTAAACTTTTGATATGTTGTTCTGGTAGCCTAATGCAACATGTTTCCGCAAAAAAACCTTCTATGTATAGATTTTCCCAGAAAAATGCTAGATTGACTGGACTATAATGCCAGTACTATTTGCGCCAGTTAAGTTTCAATAATATCATAATTCTTCCTTCCCATTTGTGTTATTTAACAAGAGCCATGATCAATCACAATTTGATACTTTCACACTACCTGCTGAGCCCTTGCTGTTTTATGGTTTTTATTTTTTACCTCTCATTTACAGATCAAGAAGAACAAGAAACATGGGTGATCCGATTGGACCATCAATGGCTCCATCTCCCTCTGCAGGAGCTGGAGCCTTATCGGGGATGCAAGCTCATAGTGCCGCCTCAATGCAGCTTGCAGAACTCGTTGGTGGCACACATCTTGCATCATCGCACGACGACACAGCAGATGGTGCTGTTCATGTTTTCCGAGACGAAAATGGACAGTGGATGACCTACACTTTCGATGAAAAGGGCACTGGCACAGACAATTTCATTCCTCCGGGCCCTAACAAATTTTTGCAATCGCTTTTGGCGCAACAGACCCACCCAGAGAATCGTCAAGTCACCAAATCGCCACCAGTGGCAGATGCATTTAATGAGATATCAGCTGTCGCAGATGCCGGAGTTCAAGTTCCATATTTATCTCGGAGAATGTCGCTGTCAAGCGATTGTTCCAGCTGCACTTCTCCTGTTCATTTGTTACCAACAGTGCCTGCAAACTCTGCTGCCTCTAAGTCGCTTCTGCAACATCTTCGTTTAAATTCTAGTGGTGTTTACGTAGTTGAATCTATACATCCTTTAATTGCTCCTCCCGAAGCAGGGGTATCTTTGTTAGGCTCGGTCTCAGAGCGAATGCAAGAGAACGCTTCTCACCAGCTAGGTATCGAACAGTTTCGAGATCAGTTCCTTGCAAGTCCCTACATATGCCAGCGTGAGGCAGGAGACCGTGAAATCGTCCGGAGTACCAAGTATGAATTCATGAGTTCGATTGACTCTCCGAAGAACGGGAAAAAAACTCAAAAATATTACAATTACCATTTATTCCCATGTGCTCCGATTAAAATAAAATTTGATCGGTTAGCTCTTCTGGCTGTCCTAGACCGGAATTTAAGTTTTTTTGAAACTTTCTTAACCTTGTTTTTAGCCATAGTTGTTGCTTTTTTAGGTTCTTTATTATTATTTTTAAATTTCTATCAAGATCTTCAAGCTTTCATGTTCTGCTTGGTGATCGCCAGCTGTCAATACTCTTTGCTTAAAAGTGTCCAGCCAGACGCATCGTCACCCACGCATGGTTTCAACAGGATAGTTGCATTCAGCCGACCTGTGTACTTTATATTATGCAGTGCCTTAGTCTTAATATTGCACTTGGTTCTAGTCACTAAACAAAGTTGGACCCCTTTTCAAATATATGGACTGCTTTGTTATCCTAGGGAATCAGTCACATTCATGCGTGATACGCTAGTCTCCTTTTTACTTTACTTTCCTCTTGTTTTTAGTTTCGGTCTGTTTCCGCAAGTCAATACCTTTTCCATGTATTTGTTAGAACAAATAGAAATGCATCTGTTTGGTGGCAATGCGACTGCTTCAGCATCTGCTGCTCTTTACTGCGTTCTTCGCAGTTGTTTGGCTGTTTTAATGCTTTACGGTTTTGCATTTGGGGGTCTAAATGAGCCCAAACAATCACAACATATTTTGTTCTCAATATTTTGCGGCCTCCTCATAGCAACATCTTATCATCTAAGTCGAAGTGCGAGTGATCCGACACCAATATGGAACATACTTAAAATGCATTTATGGCCTGATGATGATATTGAATCCATTCCAACTCCATCAAGTGTGAAAAGGAGTAAATCAAGGAACAAGATGAAGCACCAAGGTTCAGAGAAATCAGCTAGTCAATCAAAAATTAGTGAAGCCAAAAGCAATTCTTTAAACAGCTCTAAGAGTGCTGGGTCCGATAAGAAACAATCTCCAAATTGCTCTCAGACAACTGTTCAAGGTAAGTCTAAGTAACACTCAGTAGTTATTTCCTAACTATATTTTTTATTTAATGTGTGAAAGTCGGCAGAATGAAATATCGTGAAACTTCAATATTAGAAAAACCTCCAAAATGTTAAAAAAAAACTATCGAGGCCCAAAGAGGTTGTTCCATCTACCATTGAAACTGGGCCCAGAATGAAATCTCCTCATCTTTTCAGGTATCAAAGGGCATGGTCAGGGACACCCAAAAATGGTTGAATTTTTTCCAAATTCCCCCCTGGGGAGGGGGAGCGGGGGGTTATATGAAAAACGGTTTTTTGGCTATAACTTTTGAACGATTTGAGATATCGATTTGAACTTTTTTTTAAATGAAAGGTTGTTTAAAGAGCTTTCTTTTGGTATATTATATTTAATAGTTAGGTCAAGTTTTGACCAATTTATGGCCTGTCAAAAATTTTCCATGAGTCCAAAAATCAGATTTCTGTAGTTTAGAGCAGCGACGATCGCATGCAGATGAACAAAAAACTGTTCAACTTATAGCCCTCTCTCTGACGGTTAAAATGAGCCCAAGATCATCTTGGGGAAACGATTTGTCTCCGAGTTATGCTTCTTCAAAGTTGGCGCGGCGGGGTCCGCTTCCGCGGGGCAGCGCTCCGGAGTACGATAGTTCACTCCCACCCCCCTCCCGTCATGCCACGCGACGCAAACCGAGGAAGACTACCTTTAATGATCATTTGAACAGATAAATGCACACAATATACGCTATTATGGTGTACAAGTATTATTAAAATTATATTAATATACTAAATAGAAGAGTGGAATCTCACCGACTTTATCATCACCGCAATCCATAGGATCATCGGCAGTGTGATCCGCATTTTCATCCTCATCTTCGTCGTCTGAAAAGCCAAAATCGACTTTTCTGAGAGGGAAGCACTCGTTCAAAAAGGCTGAAGGCGCTGGTTTTTTGTGATAGCGCCCGTAAAACAAATACGAGCACAAGGATTGATGGTACGCGCACCGTTCTTACATGTGCAGTAACTTGCTTTAATGGCCTCGCTGGATTTTTGACTGGTGTCGATTAATATAAATATATGATATTCTTTTTTTGATTTATGCCTCGATAGGATCCGCGATCGAAGAAAAAGAGGCGAATTTACGGAAATATCATATTTTTGAAAATCTGGCAAAAAGTTATCCTTCGTTACTTGAAAGCAATATTTTCCATCAGCAAAATGGTCTGCAATATGACTTGCTGCAAGTCCAATTTGATAACTTCCCGAGAGAGTGTCAAGATCTTCGCTCCTCCACTGTTCTAATTGTTCAAAATGATCTGTCGTCAGGTTTTCAAAAACTACTTTTTTTCGGAGCCATTTTTCGTCCTCTACAATTTGTTGCACAATATTCGGCTCATTTAATTTTTGGAGCATTTGAATGGCAATTTTTGCGTCGTCACCATCACTTTGCAGGCGTTGAAAATATAAATTATGTATCGCGGACACTATGCGGTAGTCGTCAAACAAATTGCCGGATCCAGGTATATTGCTTCTCGTTTTATAGAGCGTTTTCAATATAATTTTAATAATACTTGTACACCATAATAGCGTATATTGTGTGCATTTATCTGTTCAAATGATCATTAAAGGTAGTCTTCCTCGGTTTGCGTCGCGTGGCATGACGGGAGGGGGGTGGGAGTGAACTATCGTACTCCGGAGCGCTGCCCCGCGGAAGCGGACCCCGCCGCGCCAACTTTGAAGAAGCATAACTCGGAGACAAATCGTTTCCCCAAGATGATCTTGGGCTCATTTTAACCGTCAGAGAGAGGGCTATAAGTTGAACAGTTTTTTGTTCATCTGCATGCGATCGTCGCTGCTCTAAACTACAGAAATCTGATTTTTGGACTCATGGAAAATTTTTGACAGGCCATAAATTGGTCAAAACTTGACCTAACTATTAAATATAATATACCAAAAGAAAGCTCTTTAAACGACCTTTCATTTAAAAAAAAGTTCAAATCGATATCTCAAACCGTTCAAAAGTTATAGCCAAAAAACCGTTTTTCATATAACCCCCCGCTCCCCCTCCCCAGGGGGGAATTTGGAAAAAATTCAACCATTTTTGGGTGTCCCTGACCATGCCCTTTGATACCTGAAAAGATGAGGAGATTTCATTCGGGGCCCAGTTTCAATGGTAGATGGAACAACCTCTTTTGTCGAGAGGTTTGTCGTGAACACCACGTTGAGGCAAGAATGTTGTAAATGACTTTTCTTAATTTGAAATCGCTTTTATTGTGGATGATTTTTTTCATTTTTAAATGCTAATTTGGAAGTTTAACATTTTTACTTTAGTTCTTATCTTAACATACCTACCATGTTAATATGCTAAGGTAACGCTATTAAAGTTTTCATATTTTCTAATTCTGTATAAAATTAACAGACCAAAGGTTTATTCAATCATTATTTTTCGGGTTAGTTCTGTGTTTGACGTATCTTTTATATTATTTTTCAGAGCAATGTTTAGACAATGCAGAAAATGGATTTGAAGAGAAAGATGATCAAGAACTTGTAGATCCTCTCCCATCCAAGCTGCAAGAGTCCGTGAATGCCAGACTGAAGTCAGATCTTATTATTTGTACTGTTGCCGCTGTGTTTGTCTTTGTGATTCATTGCAGTGCGGTTTTCACTGCTCTTCAACCAGAACTCAATCCGGTAATTTTTTTTTTTTTTTTTTTTTTTTTTTTTTTTTTTTTTTTTTTTTTTTTTTTTTTTTTTTGTGTTAAACTTCTTGAATTTTAATTCATCTCAAACAGAATGAAAGATAAGGAGGTATCTTTATTCACAATTTGAGTCAATGAGTGTTCAAAAATGGATGAGCTCCTAATAGATGATTTGGGTCCTTAATGCGGTGACATTGCCCTCCTAGAAGATTCCAGGAAATCCCTAATATTAATTTATACATCCATCGTTTTAACATTTAACTCTGGTTTAAACGCTTTTCTCTCTGCAGACTTGAATTTTGAGTCAAAAACTTGTAACGTACAAGCACTTTTGAAAATTCGAAGATTGTACAAAGCCAATATCCTTAAACACAATGGATGTCAACATCTGCACTGTTCCCATGCACCGCTTTATGTGATTCACTTTTACTTAACTGTAAACATTACTTGTTTCCAGGTTCTTTGGAGTGTCTGTGGTTGTCTAGGCCTGCTTTTACATTATATTTTACCGCAACTGCGAAAACAACTTCCATGGCTATGTATAGCAAGACCTATTTTACGATCTCATGAACATGGACAATATGAAGTTTGCGGACCTGCGAAAATTATGTGGTTTGAAAAGGTACATTTCCGTTCTCCCATCTTTAAAAATAGCTTTTAATTGATTCTAGTTGGTCGCTTAGTGGTAGAATTAAACCTTTTACATCCCCTATTTTGGTTTTAATTCTGTGGCTTTTCAAACAATTCAGTTATTTGAAATGATTTGTGGATTATTATGCTAATTTTAACCTACACTTGCTCGCAATATGTACCAAATAATTTGTTGGCTATACCCTAAAATAAGTTTGATACAGAAGAACTGCAGTTTTTTAAATGTGGTGTAGCAGAAGGGGGTTTGTCTTGCAGCAAGTTATGTTGATTTATTATTCAGTCTTAGTACTCTTATTAATTTTTCATTGGCCTCAGCCAGTAGCAAATTCAGGATCAAAACTCATTTTACATTATTGGGCCGTTGAGGAAGTGAATTTTTAGTGCAAAGCAAATACAAAGCAAATGGTCTAAATGGGCCTGTTGCAAACTTTTTCTAGAGAAAAAATAAGAGTTGTTACTCATAGAAAATGTCTCAAAAATCATGATGAGCGCATCAACAAAGTCTAAAATACACTTCTTACTTCATAATTTGCTCAAGAAATTTGCATTTTTTCGAGCTTCCCGCCTCCAAAACGATACCACGGCCCAGATGAACATCTCGTTAGAGGAGTCGTTCCATCCAACCCCTGTTCACAAGGATACTATGCAATTCAACATAGCCGATGCCAATCTGCCAAAACACATGTGACGGGACGAAGATTCTAACCGCCTGATAACAAACGGCGTGTTTACATTCACGTTTTTCTTGCGTTGATAGATATCCGCCTTTATTAACCTTGTGCTATCCTCAACTTGCGCGCGGAAGCATTGGCCATGTTGAGCTGGGATTGAATGGAACGACTCCTCTTACGAAATGTTCACCTATGCCGCAGTATCCTTTTTGAAGCGGGAAGCTTAAAAAAACGCAAATTTTTTAAGCAGATTGTGAAGTTAGAAGTTCATTTCAGAGTTTGCCGATGCGCTCATTAAGATTTTTGAGACATTATCTATGAGGAACAACTCTTATTTTTGCTCTGACAAAAGTTTGCAACAGGCCCATTAATATTAGTTTTCTGTCAAGTACAAATAATTTGTTTATGAAAATGTGCAAATATTTGAAGGGCGGTGACTCTATATTTACCATCAATTACGGCATCAGCACAATTCGAGTTATTATTAAAGGTTTTATGATTTCTTAGAAAATAATATTTTCCTTCTCTCAATTTCTTTTCAGATGTTCGTGTACCTGTGTTTTTTTGAGAAAAATATTCTGTATCCAGTTTTATTCCTCAGTTGTCTGACATCTGACAGCCCAGTCATCATTCGAAAGTTCGGGGTTGCCCTTGGTGCATTTATTGTCACTGTTTGCGGACTAAAATGTCTTCGCTCTTCATTCTCAGATCCTCGCTCTCAGTATCTCATTTTAATTTTTTCTGTCTTATTTTTCCAACTAGACTACGCTGCAAGCTCAGAAACTGTCCTTGTAGATTACTTTATAACGGCAATCGTATACCACAAGACTTATGAACTGTTATTGAAAATACAATTTGTCGTCACTTACATCGCCCCTTGGCAAATCACCTGGGGCTCAGCATTTCATGCGTTTGCTCAACCATTCTCCGTGCCCCATTCTGCAATCATGTTCATGCAAGCCACCTTATCAGCAGTGCTCTCAACGCCACTGTATCCGTTTCTGGGAAGTGCAATATTCCTGACATCCTATCCTCGCCCTGTCAAGTTTTGGGAACGAGACTATAATACTCGCAGAGTTGATCATTCGAATACTCGCCTGTCTTCTCATCTGGAAAGGAACCTAGGAGCTGATGATAATAATCTGAATTCAATTTTTTACGAACATTTAACACGATCGCTTCAGCACTCATTATGCGGTGATTTAATTCTCGGTCGTTGGGGACCTGTCGGTCAAGGTGATTGCTTTGTCTTAGCATCAGAAAATCTAAACTGCCTTGTCCACATAATCGAACTTGGAAACGGTCTAGTCACTTTTCAAATGCGCGGATTGGAATTTCGAGGAACGTATTGTCAACAACGTGAAGTTGACGCAATCACTCAAGGTGTGGAAGAAGACAAGGGATGTTGCTGTTGCAAGCCCGGTCATCTTCCAGACATGCTTTCTCTAAACGCAGCTTTTAGTCAGAGATGGCTGGCTTGGGAAGTAACGCAAACAAAATATGTTCTCGAAGGATACAGCATCTCGGACAATTCGGCAGCCTCCATGTTCCAAGTGTTTGACTTCCGCAAAGTGTTAGTGACCTACTACGTAAAAAGTATCATCTTCTATGCCGTCAGTTCTCCATTACTTGAAAGTTGGCTATCATCATCAACCATTTTAGATGCCTTAAAATCAACTCTAGACCGGAATTTTGTCGATTTAGATCCCATTTTCAGCATGAACATCGATGAAGACTACGATTTTCGAGCCAGTGGTATCACAAGAAATAGTTTCTGTGCTATCTACTTAGAGTGGATTCAGTTTTGTGCATCTAAACGATCAAAACCACTAGGAGACAAAGGCCGTGATTCACCATTAGTATCTCTTTGTTTTGCTCTGAGTTTGCTTGGCCGACGGACATTGGGCGCAGCATCTCACTATTCTGTTTCTAGTGTGGAGTACTTTTTATATGGTTTACATGCGCTATTCAAAGGAGATTTCCGGATAACTTCCACTCGAGATGAATGGATTTTCTCAGACATGGAACTTCTTAAGAAAGTAGTCGCACCAGGGGTTAGGATGTCTCTGAAACTACATCAAGATCATTTCATGTCCCCTGACGAATATGAAGATCCCAACGCACTCTACAGTGCAATCGTCAGTCATCAAGAAAATCTTGTCATTTCCCACGAAGGAGATCCTGTTTGGAGAAATGCCGTTTTGTCTGGCATGCCGTCCCTCCTTGCCTTACGTCACATACTTGAGGACGATAATGATGATTACAAGGTACTTTTCTCAATATATTTAGACCTCACTGAGTCGGAATGTGTCAAGAATGAGGCTTTATTCTAATTTAGAGGGGCTCCAGAGGTTGTGGGAAGGGTCTGAGCAAAATGAAGGAAAAGCCCACTGCACTTGCGTCTACCTATGGACCTGTCAAGTCACAAAACAACTTACCCCAGTTCACAGGTGTCATTTGAAATCCTAACTTTATTCTCATTATTCTCCGTTTCTTTATATTATCTTATTGATTTTTGTCCAGCACTAAAGCTGACGAAAAAAGTAAAAAAAAAAAAAATGGATGACTTCTGGACAAAGGTTTGAGTTAAAAGCTTAAAGTAAACTACTGTCATGAAGTAAAGTCAGACATGACACTTTATGTCCATTCAGTTCCACAGTGGGTGAATATGCAATAAAACAGGACTTGACAGGTTTAACGAGGGTCTGCAGCCTTAGCAGGTTTCGACTCAGTGAGGTTTGTCGTAATCACTAATTTTAATTATCTTACCAAATTTCATCTTGGTTTCTCAACTTCGGAAGTAGAGACACCCATGTTTCAACGATTCCTATCGGTGGCCAAAATGCGAAATGGACCACTAGATAAGGTACGAATTTCAGCATTCTGATACATGTTTCTTAACCAAAATTTTACGTAAAACACGATGCACACAACGAAAATTGCCGAAATTAACTCCTTACGAAGATATTTAATGATTCTTATTGCGTGAATTCAAACCACCCGCTCATGAAAACACAATGCTCTACGTGATTCACATCGCGCGCTAAACGTTATCATGACAGTCTCTGCGATATAAAAATCTGGCAACCTTAATCTTGACGCTTTGGCTCAGTTATAGCAAATTGCTAATAGTTTGAACAACACATGATGGGAAATGAACATTGCTCGATTGAGAAGCTTGCTGAAACCGTTGTAGTGGGCGATTTGACTCACGTAGAGTTTTGAGTTTCTTGTGAGCGGGCAGTTCAAATTCCTCGTAACCAATGTGAAATAAAAACGTTAATATCTTCGTTAGGAATTGGTTTCCGTAATTTTCGTTGTGTGAATCGTTTTCCACGTGAAATTCTGGTTAAGAAACATGTATCAGATCGCTTAAATTCGTACCTTGTCTAGTGGTCCATTGTGTATCTCCATTTGCAACTTTGAAGACTTTTTCAACGATTCCTATCGGTGGCCAAAATGCGAAATTGTGTATCTCCATTTGCAACTTTGCAGACTTCCTATCATATTTTATTTTGTCTTCAGAAAACTAGCCAACTTAATTTCTTGAAACCCTCTTGAATTTCTTGTCTCCGTCAGCTGACTACTTTTTATAAAATCGAGCTATGAACTTGTCTCGTTCATCTTTAAAAAATGAAAAGTGGAGTGGATTTTTTGAAAAATTGCAATAGAGATATGTAGTTTTGCACTTTGGCCATGGAAATGACCCTGTACCATATTCCACAGCCTGAACAAAATATGGTTTTAATTAGCGTGCAGACTATGAATAAGCTTGCCCAGTAATTTTCAACTATTACACTTTTGAAAAGTTGAGAAAGAAATTAGTTCATATGAATTCTTTCTGACAATTTTTGTAATAATCTTACACATCGCCAGATGAACCAAGAAAGAGTTAGAACATATCTTTTATGCAGCAGGTGCACTTTTGATCACGTCTTTTTCTGGTGCGATCTGTGTCCATATAGCTGTGCACCATTTATTGATAATGACTGCTTGGCCTTTAGATCATTCTAGAGGTAATGCACAATTGGAAGTGTAACCCAAGAATATTTGTTTGTGTCATATTGGTTTTCTTGACAATATGTGTTTGAATTGATGTAAAATGGATGTCCTCTCTGTTTCAGGTGATAATGTTGAACAAGCGATACTTAAGTTTTCGGGTGATCAAAATGAACAAAGAGTGTGTAAGAGGACTCTGGGCAGGACAACAACAAGAACTTGTTTATTTGAGAAATTGTAACCAGGAGCGAGGAAGCATTCAAAATGCGAAACAGGTAAATATCAACAGGAATTATAATTCTATTTGGATAGAATCACCAAGAAATTACGATAATTTTATTTCTCATGTAATTTTCTCTCAATTTATTTCTCCTTATGAAGAATTATGCCAAATTTTAACGCACGATAACAGCAAAAGTAGATTATCTTTCTTGCTTACTTAGTTGCTTATCTCAGAGGCTGTTGCAAAATGGATCATAAAACAAGGTGTGAACTCAAGCATCATGATATCTGTTTTCTCATCAAAATTTTACTTTGAAAACGATTTATGCAACGATAAGTATTAATAATAACTCTTAACAAAGATATTAACATTTTTCAATGCATAATCTCAAACTTGCCACCCATAGTTATAACAATAATCTACTGGAATTAAATCGCAAAAAATTTTAAAAAAAAAACTAAAAAATTACGTAGTGCTGACTCAGACTAATTTTTTTCTCATTCTAATCTCAGGCTCTTCGGAACATTATCAATTCCTCATGTGATCAACCAATTGGATATCCTATCTTCGTGTCTCCTCTCACAACCTCCTACGCAGAAACAAACGAACAATTATGCAGTATTATTGGTGGCTCACTTAGTTTAGGCGCTATGAAGCGAGCTGTTCTAAGATTATGGAACCGGTAAGTACTTTTAGTATCCTTTGTTTTTAGAATGTCCCTAATATTTTTTTAGAACTCAGTCAGTGTTCATCGAAAAAGTTACCATTTGTAGAAATTTGTTGCCGTGCCACTTGAAAATCTAGCATGAGTTCGTTTTCAAATAATTTAATCAGAATTTTTTCATTAAAATTACTCAGAATTTCAGCTTTTATTTCATCTTACTGTAAACATGAAAGCTCATCAGTTCAGTCACTGAGTCATAATTTCATAAGCAATATCACTCTCCCCTTTCAGGTATTCTTGCCTTCTGTGGTTTCCTACCTATTATCTGATAGAAATTACTGGCAATTTTCCGTTGATTTTACCTCCTTTTACTGTCTTTGTTGTCATCTTATGTTCACAGAATGAGACGGCGGTGTATCGAGGGTTGTTCCAGCGGCGGATCATTGCAACACGATGATGGTGGTTTCGGTCATGAAGGCATGTATGCAATGACTCCGTGCAATATTCACTCAGGTAAGATGAGAAGCATGTTTAATAGCATACTCTTTGAGGCACCAGTGATATTTATCATTTTAACATTATGGCTGCTCAAAAAATAAGTCAAAGACGCCTGTCAAACTTTACTGTCTTGAAAAATTGTGAATTTTTTATGGGATCTTTGAATATTCACTGATCAAAATTTTTTTCTGTCGTAGGGTATAATCGATCAACTCCTGCGAGTCAATCCATTGAAAGCACCATCATGGGAGGTGGGAGTATGGGCAGAATCAACCGAGGTAGTTTAGGTAGCACAACAGGGAAGCCAAGCTCATCAACGCTAGCTAGTTTGGCTGGACTCCTGTCATCATCCCAGCAACCATCCGCAGATAGTAATTCCAAAACTTCAACCACCTCCAACAACAATCCTTCTATATCAAAGGATGACCATGAGAAAGAACCTCTACAGCAACGAGTTCGAGTAAGTAGCAAACTGTACATTTCTCGTGAAAGTATTAATACATTTTTTGTTTAATTTATTTATTTATTTTTGTAGGTATCTCAAAGAAATTTCAACAAAAAAAAAATGTTCAGAAGAAATGATAACACCAAATCGACTTACTCTGTGGGTCCAGAGCAAAAAGTACTTAAAAACTTAAAAACTTTTCGCTTTTAGCAGTATTTACCAGTCACACTCTGAGAGAATATTCTGAAGATACTTAGATTGCAATTAACTATCTATCCCGACTCATCAAATATTTGTAATCCAAATTCTTTTATGATGGTGGTGTATACAAATGGTGTGACATAATTTGGATTACAAACATTTGGTGAGATGTGATAAAGAGTTAGTGCAATCTATTGAGTATTATTAATGACCAAAGTTCGTAATAATAGTTTTATCATACATTTTAGATATCCCACCTGAACAATCTATGCAACATCGTTAGACGAGGCGACAGTATTTTTTTGAAGTCAACGGTTTTTTTGTCTCATGATGATTGATGAGTAATTTGTTGAGTAAAATTCGCCAAATGATGGCTGACAAATGTTGGGGGTAAGCACTTTGCTAGGCAAGTTTTTGCAAATCACGATGAGACTGATAAACCAGTCGCTTAACTGTCCAGTCACCAGTCATCATCAGGCAAATCCAACTGTCCATGCTTGAGAGTAACTCTCACATTATAGGAAAAATGGCAGTGCAAGGTGTGTGAACAGGATTACATTTTGCAATAAGGAACCACTGCCTCTGGCTCTTCCATAAAAGCACGTATCTGCATAGGGAAACCAATGGCATTTATGTTGTTTCTTAAATGAGCCAAAAATAGTGGTTCCTTATTGCTAAATGTAATTCAAATATGTCCTCTCTGCTTTTACTCATGAGAATTTCATAATCAAACAAAAGAGCGTGGTTATTTGAAAATGCTGGTAATTTTTATACTTTTGTATCTCCTTTCATGGATGTCCTACTAATTGTAAGGGACTTAGTTTTCTTCGCACGATAATTTATTTGAATTATTTATTTGTTTTTGAAACCTGAAAGTTTAAAATAAGTGCTCATTCATGTTTTTTAGATTGTGGATCCCTATCAAGTGTATGATGCTGTAAATTTGGGGCGACGGATAGATGTCCTTTGGCCTGATGAGAGGATGCGGCAGCAAGGTGGCCGTACTTTTTGGCAAGACTGGATACCCCAAACTGGAATGGAAGGACAGGTCAGTTTACATTCATCATTTCCAAAGCAAAAGAGCTTTTGGATGTCAAAGCCTCAATGCAATACTAATGTTCTTTTCAGCACTTTTCTATCCGGCTGTTTTAGTGGTGTTGTTTAGTGTGAGTGGAAAGTTTGAACTTTTGCATAAAATCCTGTAAATATCTTGGTTAAGAGATATAGTAAACCTTGGATTAGTTGAACTAACCTGACAGTTGGCCAATTTGGATTATGGAAAGTTCAGATAATCCGGTGTCTACTTTTAGTGAAATAAATGGATAGTCGATGAATTAATGCAAACCTTTTTAATTTTGTACCCTTGATGGAATCATATAGTTATTCAAAGAAACATTGACAATCAACAACTCATCATCTGCAAAAGGCAAGAAAAGGTCAAAAATATTCAATTGGCTGGATTTATGTATTTAGTTTAATCTTGCTGGGGGTGTTCTTTGAGAATTTTTTTACCTTTTTGATAGCACTCAAGTGTTCGTAACTCACCTGTCGTTTTGATGCTTTCAGGTTGTTCATCGCTGGATTCCCAACCATAGAGATCCAAACCGGAGGTCTCACGTTGATAAGACTGTGTTATTAGTGAAAATAGATGATAAGTATGTGCCCATTGCAGAGAGTGGGGTCCAAGATTTAGGAGCTGAAGTCTGAACCTCTATCAAAGTCATCCCGTCCATCTCTCGCAATAGCTCTTAAAAGAGCATGGTGTGGAAAGCATTTTTATTTTTCAGTTTCTTCCCATTATATTTTTTCATCCTTGAATTGTGAATGAAAAAGAAGTACAAAATGCAACTCCAAGTTGCTGCTTTTCAGATAAATGGTCAGTTTATCTGCTAAGATATGTCTTCCCATTTATGAAGCAGTTGTTATGTATAAAAGATTGGTTTAATTTTCTCATCTTTTTTTCTAATGTAATTCTGAGAATATTAAAGATGAGTATCCTGTTAATCTCAAGCTAGGTAAGGAGAATATTCTCTAAGAGTTAAATTCACAAGCGCAATGAAAATTTACTGATCCTTACTGTTAGAATAATTTTAAATTTATTTGTGACTGGTTGAGCCATAAATGTATGTACTATCGCTGTTAGGAAATCTTGTCATACTTTTCTTATTATTTTCCTAAACGATATTTTTTTGTCGTCAGCCTTGACTTGGAGATCAGGTGTGACTGAATACTTCAGTTGAATTCTGACATTTAGATGTGTGCCTCCATAATCTTGACATCACAGCACTTTAAATTGAATCATCTGTCCGATATTTTTTTTTATGTAAAAGTTTTTCACGGAAGAAGTATGAAAAATATCCCTCTTTCCAAAACATTGTGGTATCGATCTTTAAGAGAATAATCACATAGCTTCAAATTTGGAAAATAATCAGTCTGATGCAGCTGTTTAGAGTCTTTCAAATCTCATCTGTAATGGTCTTACCCAATTTTGTTGTGTTATTGCAAGAAGAAGAGAGATATATAACAATTTTTAAAGTCAGATGTGATACATAGTTATGCTCTTTGAAATATCCAATCCATATATTTGCTTCAGAATGAGGCTTAATGGAACTAAAATGCTATAAAAAGATTAACATTTTTATTAATTTTTTTTTTTTTTTTTTTTTTTTTTTAAATGTTTTGGACCATAGGCCACTAAATAAGGTATACTTTTCAACACAATGGAGTATTCTATCACCTCAGAAAAATTTCATGAGGAAAACATTAGATTTTGAAGACAAAACTTGTTCAGTTTTTTGGGTTTTTATTTCACACCTTGTCTGGCAGCCCATTACATTCGTCCAGTTTCCCTATTTATCTTCCTTTTTCCTTATTTAAGGAGGGGTGTATTGCATTATTGCCTTGCGAGAAGGAAAATTATTGAAAGCCAGAAAGAAACACTATGCTAAAGTTACATTCCAAGTGAAATCTTACCCATTTATACTCTTCACTAGGCACCACTCTTTGTTATTTCTTGGCCCTTTAAACCGGCACTGCCATGGCATACCTTCAGTCTGAATAGTTCTATTTTGGCTTTTCTATCCATATGCAAGTCTAAGCATCAGTCATCTTTCTATCTCTAATTTTAATCGGCCCTGAGTCTAATTTTTTGTCCAAAATTACGGAGGATCAGGAAATTTTTATTGCCCTTTATCTCGAAGGAATCATTTTAAATTTTATAAATTGAAATCAGGGTTTGTAAATTTTTCTCAATATTCTTATTTTTATTCATTTTGTGCTTTGAATTTTGTGATATGAACTATGCACTTAAGAACAACCAATGAAATGAATTAATGTTATTTGTATGTTTTTGAAACTTACTCTTGTTTCTAAGTTTTTTATATATTATGTGCTCACCTAGGTATGAGCTCTAGAGGAAGAATTGATAATGAACGGCATCTGCCATTTTATAATTTTACAATAAAGAAACGCAAACGATTATTGCAGCCTGGTGTGAAGCGAAGGTCAAACCTGTGTCTCCCAGATCTTAATTTTACTGAAGAGTAACTGAGATTAAATTATTTGCCTTAATCATAGATTTAATTGTTATCTACTTACTTTGTTTTTCTTTTTTTCTCTTTTCCACCCTGTAATCCTGTTTTAGTGACAGTGTGAGTGAAAGAATATGCCAAAATTTCCTCAGGAGGGCTGTTATCACTAATCTTTATTTCTTCTAGGAAGTGAAATAAACGATAATGAATGTTTGGTTCTTTCCAGTAGAATAATTATGAGAAAAAATTGCTAGAGCCAATGTTCAATTTTCTGCTCTGAATGTAGGCTGTGAAATTTTGTTGTTTTCAAGTAGGTATGGGGACACTTTTGACAATTTAGAGGTACAATTATACAACTGATAATCATTTCCTCTAGAATGTGAGATCCCCACAGCAGTTCAGGACTGACTGATACCCTTATCGACCAATTTTTTGTTGAAATGCCTGCAGTTAGACTGTTTCCTTTCTTCCACTTTTAATTTTTTTTTTTTTTCTCATTTGTGATCCTCTGATCAAATAGTAACTTCATTTTATGTATGCTTAACGTTTTTAAAAGATAGGTACAGGAGAAGTGTGAACATTTCTGCACCACAAAGGACCTTTTTAGGCTAAGAATTCAGTGAATGTAATATCTGTCTCATTTCTCGATTTATACTCACTTGAAATATTTTGAAATGTATCCTTAAACTTTAATTGTAGTGAAGAAAATATGAAGAATATATTAGCAGTTTGGGACATACTACAATTTCTCCATAAGAATGAAGAGCATTTAAAAGTACGCATTTCCAGCCCTAAAATCTTCAGTGTATGTTGTGCCTATTTTGTCATGCAGACTGTGAATTTTATGCCCTGATTAAAACCTCGTGCACGTGATTCCTTTCATGATCAGATAACTTTCTTAAATTAAAAGAGCAATTCAGTTGGAACATAGATATGTATTCTGAATTCCTGCCGAAACATTTGTAATTCCAGACTTTTTATTTTAAAAATGACTCAACCCCACATTAATTATCAAGAAAAATCTTTATTATTCTGTTTGATGTTTCATTTTAAAATGTTTACAAGCCTTCAGTGTTAAAAACGGGAGTAATTGAAGATCTCACTTTTTCTTGGTCTTTTTTTCCTCTTGATCAGTGATGTCATTTTCATCAAATTTTTCAAGTTCGAATAATATTTTCTACTCACAGATTCTAAAGCTCGAAACCGGTTTCACCATTAGTATCAGGGCTGTTGGAGACCTTGGTTTTAAAAAGATCAGCTACTTCTTCTGTGTGACGAATCAAGTTTTTTGGTGCTCAGAGAATATTCTAGGAACCCTTACTTTCTGTTCATCTTTTGGTCCTCTCATTCCTCTTATTTAGTCAAAGCAGTTTCACCCTTGGAAAGTCATAAGGAAAAGAAACTTCAAGAAATGCTATTACCATAGCATGCATGAATGCATTTTTGTTTAGTTATTAGTATCAGCCTAAGAGCAAAAAGACAGAACTCAACGAAAAGAAGTGGGGAAGGTGATGGATTTCCCTTCTTACTTTTTGTTGTCATAATGTTTGTAGCCTAAGTTAAATATGTTTATACCTTTATTTTCTTTCATCTAATTACATTCGTTTTTAAAAATGATCTTCATCTTTGTGTTTTTTATTACCTCATTTCTATTTTGAGTCACCTAACATTTTATCTTATCTATAGGTAACTAGCCCCGGTCTTAGAGACTATTTCAGGACAATTGAAGAATGAGGGGCGAAGTTCAGTATTAAACTTGATCTATTTATTAATGGTTTAAAAGCAGGTCATATTGGTTCTTTAAAAAAATCCACGCTCGACAAAGGCAATTAATTTTCAAAAAATAGATTGAGCCGATAGATTGCTAGGTTCTTCCCTTCTGCTGCCAATTTTCGTGGCGTATGGGGGAGATATGAAATGTGTTATCTTCAGATTTCTTAATATAACCTCTGAAGGTTTAAAACATGGCAATGGTTTACATTAGTTGGTCCAGGGACCATTTAATTTAATCCCTTAAAGTCTGGAAAATGTATCAAATTCCTCATAAGACCCTCTGGCCCATAGATAAGATTTTTTTCTCTTCTGGGATACTTGGTGAAGGCACCGGTGCACTTATGGTTAACTCCGGTTTAGTGAACAGGCAAAAGAATCGATGGCTGTCTGGTAGACTATATGTATTTCTTCACCGTAATTTTCTAATTCTCTGCCAAGCATTGCCATAAACTCCTGGTCTTGGCTGTTTGGCCCCGCGATTGCACTACATCAGCCTCGTACAAATAATTCTTTTTGCGTTGGGTGAGGAATTTGATCAACCATGGGAGCCAAAATAAATTTTTGAAATCCAAAGATCTCAATGCGTGGCACCCTCAATTGAACTGTAAACCAACAAATTATCATGCCCATTCAAATTTCCTTCAATTTGGAAGGTATGCAATTTGATCTCCGGGGAGCTCGAATAGTTGCTCATGCTCGGAGCAATGGGCGCGAGGCTGTCATGATCAGACGCGTATTAACGAACCTGCTAAAATTTCCTTAATTTCGGACGGTATGCAATTTGATTGCATCACATGAATAAATATACCTAATCAGTTTAAAAAAAAAAAAAAAAAAAAAAAAAAAAAAAAAAAAAAAAATTGAGGGCACCAATATCGAGGTTTAAATTAGCTACGAGTGCATCGATTTTGAAAAAAGGATAGGACAAGGATAAGCACCTCGATTTGATTGTTGGATACTTAATTTCCGAGGCTCCAAGGTAGCATTTTATTTTGAATTTTGAAAATGTGAATGAAAATTCACCTTTAAAGTCAAATACCCTGGAACCAAGTTCCGCAAAAACCGATTGGCCAGGACCCGAGATAGCATTTTAGGCCACATTCACCACCTTGGATTTTCGAATTTAGAAAATTTCAATTTAAATTCAAGTTTCCCGTCAAAAAATGCCATCTGGTACTAAGTTTCACTGAAATCGATCGGACAGGAGTCGTAGGTATATCGTACAATCAGTAGGACTCTACAAAATGGTTTTTTCTTCGTTTGTTTGCTTATTTACTCCTCAGATGCATAATAACACTGAAAAAAAAATGAAGTTGATTTAACATTCTGGGCGTAAAAAAAGTGTGCGAGAACATACAAAGTGCTGAAATAACTACTGCAGCAGTTACTTTAGCAATGTCAAGATGTAAAACTAACTGCCGTAGCGGGTAATTTAGCATTTTGTGAGTTCTCACACATTTTTTTTACATCCAGAATGTTAAATCAACTTAACTTCTTTCCAGTGTATTACAAAGGAAAGTCGTCTTTACGAGAGAAGGCTGCGATAAGATTGCGCAAGTGCCCCTTTTTTACCTTTTTGGAGATGCATAGGATTGCGCAAATTTTTCCGGTACTGAAAACTCTCATGTTTGCGCGAAGATTCAATATTAACGAGGATGCTTTAATCTTGCAACCTTGGTAGTTTGTGGTGGATAACTACATCGCGGAAGACTGTTCATTCCTTACGGCATTTCCCTCTTCGGTGGATACCTAGCCCTCGCAGCACTAATAGCCTAGAGAGCTTTCGTAGACATTTAAAAAGTGAACTAGGGGCCTGTGGCCGCTACAATGCCCCAACCACTGAAATAAACTACACGTGAAAAATCGTAGAACAGCCATATTCAAGTTTTTTATGAGATGCAGGGATTCAAAATCCGACGAGTGCACCCGAAAGAAAGCGTATTTTTTATCTCTGATTGCAACGTTATGTACCTCATTCATGTTTTATTTTAATCATTTTTTTAAAAAGCTACATACAATTTTTCTGAAAACTTTCCACGAATTTACCTTAATGATCTCAAATAAAAGTATCGAAAATTGTGACACGACATTTTCGATCGTTCTATTTTCTTTCAATGTAACAAAAAAAATAATAATAATATAATATAAAATAAATAGCATGGTGAAAACAGCATGGATTAATGCATGGTTTAGCATGGTTTAGTTATGGTAAAAACTGGAGCAGAAAAGTCAAGAACGATGACACGCATAGTCCAACATCATTCCTACATTTTGATTCCAACTACTGACCGACTGCACGGCGTTTGGCGCAATGCGAGAAGTATTCATGCAGTCTTGTAGGCGCTCATACGGGCCTTACACCGACCACACTTTTTGGCGCAATGCGTGAAGTATTCCGAAAGTCTTGCAGGCGCTAATATACGTTCAACGCCGGCCGCACTGTTTGGCGCGATAATTCGAACTCGCGTTAGAATAATCGCGACATCAAGTAATAGAGCTTCAAAGGCCCATGTTGTGTTTCGACGCCGTAAGAGCATTCACAACGTTGCCTCGTTCCTCCCGATTGAATATTTTTTCCTATAAAAGTTAGGAAAGTTCTTAAACCCACAACCATTATTCACTCTTTTCACTTCATTTATCACCAGAAGGTAAGACCTAAACTAGCGCTAACATAAAATTGCGTTTTCCCCCTGTTTCCTGCCTTGCCAAATTTCTACCTTAAATTAACTTCATTTTAAATTCGCGCATTCCTGTAGCAGATGTTAAGGATTCTATTTGCGAAATCCTCATATATTTTCTTAGACCTCTCGCGCAATCCTGGATTTTCGCGATGGAAGGCGGACACGAGCATAAGGTTTTTAAGCACTTTAAGTCTACGTTATATGGTACTGTCTAGAAATGAAGTATAAAAGCAAGAAAAAAGAGCAAGGCAGAGCTGACAGTTCATTCCTCGTCCGTGGTGTCTATGCCGGTATCCACCCTAGGGCACAGTGGTAAACGATAACGGTCAATTTACGTACGGCTGTGCGCCTTCAATTTCGTCTGATACCATGCAACGCCTCCGAGGCGGAATAGTTGCTGAAAGCGCCTTCAAGAGAATCGCTCATTGTTAGACTCGCTGACAGAGGATCACGATTAGGTACTGCGCGCGCGCAGTTACACATTTTCTCATCATCGACGGTGAGGTAAACATCCATACCTCAATTTGCGACGTTGCAAGTTTTTTTCTCCTTGTTTTATGCGGGTAAACCAACAAAATGCTCGCGATTCAAGCATCCTGCGCGTATCTTATCCGTGTGAGCTGGCGAAACTCTCCAGCTCAGCAAGATCAAAGTTTTATTTTGCGTGGACAAGGAGAAAAACATTTCGGCGATTCAAACCAAATAGTTTTGTGGAAGTTCTCGGTTCAGAGGACGTTCGGTTTAGTTTTCGGCTTGAAGCCTTCAGTTGAGCGGACCGACCGCTTCAGTTGATGGAGCTGAACTTCAATTCCACGAACCGAGGTTTCAGTCTACCAAACCGACAACTGTGGCAAACAAAGAATATGTTCTAGATCGAACGAAGTATTTCATTTCGGTGAACTGGATGTTTGGTTCGTCGAACTCAAAACAAAATGCTCAACTGAAGCGAGTCGTGTCGCTCAATTGGACTACATTTTGCAATTTGGAACTATAAAGTCTAGCCCGGTTTAAAAACAACTTATGTACCATTAATTTCCCTTTGCACATGCGTGTTTTTCCAGAAGAGCCAGAATTTATAGTTCCAAACTGCAAAATGCAGTCCAATTAAGGTTTGACTTCTCTAATCTGAAAAGCCTCAAATATGTGGTTCGTATAACCGAGATTTTTTTCTCCGTAATGTACATCTACCAGATCTCAATGACTACCAATGTATGATATTCTTACTCTGGAGTTTGTCCCATTATTCTGAAAATAAAAGCCATTACATTCGCCCTTGGTTTAGACTATTGCGTTGCTTTAATGCATAGAAAGGTTCTGTAGTGACGATTGCTAACAAAGTCGAAGTATTGCCAGCCTATCCTCGATCGGTAAGAGCGGACGATAAATTTGTTCCGGACTTGTCCTATGCCTACAATTTAAAAAGTTGAGAAGTTTTGCTATTTGAATAACCTAGAAACTTAACACGAAATGGGTATCCGAGATTTCACGAGACTGTCTAAACACAGTTCACAAATCGTATGCATATTTCAATAGCCTCATAGGCGGGACATAGTTTTAGAAACGCTATGGTTAAGGATTCGTAGGTAACCAAAACCTACAATTACGTTCCGATGATAAGTGTTGGTTTTCAGTAAAGTACAGGATAGCCTAGCTCCCGGATAATGATCGCCATTATCTCATCGCTGAATAAGTTCATTATTATTAAAGAGGAAAAGAGAGAGAGAGAAAAGAGAAAGAAAAATCTCAATTGTTTTAAACAGAAACTTGAGAGGTCATAGGGCGGGTGACCCAACGGCCCGTGCCTCCTATTCTTTCCCTGAGAAAGTGAATATTGCATTGAAAATGTCATGTAATGTCAAAATGTCATACATGGGTCATGATCGTTGATTTAATCCAACTTCATATTTTTTGAACATTCAATGATTGTCCTTTCTTAATTTTTGCATATTAATGAAGTTTTTATATTTGAACTATATTCTGCCAAAATAAAATCCTGTTTTTTGCTCATTACAGTAACAACGTCTTAACGTTGGAACCGTCGTCTTGTTTTTTTTTATTTAGATATGTGCTTTTACGAATGCCCAGTGAACTTCTTTTTCCTTCCCATTGAAAGTCAAGGTACAAATTGTTTTGAATTGAACTTTAAAATAATGTATTTATCTTATCTCGAAAAAAGTACAGCAGACTTACAATAGTTTATGCACGTAAAATAAGCGGTGGGAAACTTGCAACGTCGCAAATTGAGGTATGAATCTTTCTTACCTCCCATTGGTGATGAGAAAATGTGTAACTGTCCACGCGCTAGAGTGTGTTGTAAGCGGTTACCGTGATCTTCTGCCAACAAGTCGAAATGATAATACAAGGCGCTTTGAGCAACTATTCCACCTCGGAAGTATTGCACAGTATCAGACGAAATTGAAGGCGCACTGCCATACGTAAATTGACTGGTTTCGTTTATCACCGTGTGGAGTCCTTTTGATTGTACGATATGCGGCTTCTTTTCAATCGATTTTGGTGAAAGTCGGTACACCATGTCGCATTTTTTGACGGGGAACTTGAATTTCGACTGAAATTTTCAAAATTTGAAAATCCAAGATGGTGGATATGGCCTAAAATGCTATCTTGGCTCCTGTTCGATCGATTTTTACGGAACTTGCAGGGAACATTTTTCGACGTCAGAGTCGAATTCAGAGTAAGAGTTCAGTCAAATTTTCAGAAATCGAAAATCTAAGAATAGGGTAGTGGCCTAAATAGCTATCTTGGCGCCTTCGGAATCATCCAACCTTCCAATCGAGATATACCTATTGTTTTTTAGTTTCAAACTACTTGGATTTTTGTGAGACTTTTTCGAACAAATTTTCCTTATTTATTGTCAAGTTTGTAGAATAAAAACCACTGTTTTTGCTCATCACTTTACTATAAGTTGCTTGTAAGCTGTAAGTGATGTCAGATCGTCAATAGCAAAGAACCGCGTATGAACCTTTAGACGTTGCAAAGTTTCCTCCGATAAAATGCGAATTTCTAGGAAAATGTATGAACATTTTTATCCGAATTTTTCAGGATATTTTATTCGCAATCGTGTATAAAATAACTGGAAATTTTACTAAAAAAATAATTTTCTTAACTGGGGAAATTTGGCAACATTCCAATGCTCATGCGGCGTTTTTCCTTAGCACGTCAGTATGGATCTCTGAAGTTTTTGGATGCGCGATCCGGAAACTTCATAGAGATCCATACTGCTATGCTGAGGAAAAACGCCGTATGAACATTCGAGAGTTGCCAAATTTTCACCGATAAAATGTTTATTTTTAAGGAAAATTGTCGATATATGTCCTTAATTGAAATTTTCAGACTTTTAGATCAAATTGCAAGCAAAATTACCTGAGAAATTGGAAGAAAAATATTCACAGATTCTCTTAAAAATTCACTGGGAAAAAAAACACATTGGATCTAGAGTCCAGACTCTTAAAAACATTGACAAGAAAAACTACTCTTGATTCAATCAGATTTAAGCTTAAATCAAGAACCAAGCCTCTTAATTTGAGCGGATTCCCTTTTGATTCAAGCTTAAATCTGATTGAATCAGGAGTCCTTATTCTTGTCAATGTTCTCAAGAGTCTGGACTCTAGATCCAATGTGTATTTGGACGTATTTATACGAAAGGGAACTAAGCGCCAAATTTCCAAATTTCAGTTTTTAACGGATCTGCATTCTCCATGTAATAGGCTGCTCTCACACGTAAATATGCCCCCAAAATACTAATTNAAAATCCCCTATATCTCGCTTAATATGCATTTTTTCCTAATTTTGGCAACGTACGTAATTAGAGGAACTCTTCAGCTTTCAAACAAGCTAAAGTAAACCAAAATCGGTCCATTAGTACGGAAACGCCAATTGTTTTAGTCAAACTTGCTTTACTGAGAAGTTTGGAAATGGCGTTTAGCGCCTTTTCGCATAAATACGTCCATTTTTTCCAGTGTTAGTGATTTTTCGAAGGAAATTTTGCAACGCCTGAAGGCTCATACGGCGTTTTTCCTTAGCACGACAGCCTTCACTGGAGCAAACGGCCTGAATTTTGGGTCTCACGCACGAAGGGTTCTTCTCCGTGATGGCCAGAGAAGACAGGATTTCCGCCAACTGTGCGTCACGGATGGCGACTGCGCGGCTGAGTTGTTGTCAGGGGAGACCGCGGGGTCGCCGCTTCAAGGACTTGGTTGGGGCCGGACTTGGAGCCGTGGACGGTGGTCACTGCTAGTCCTAGATCGCACCCTTCCACGGCCGACCGGCGGGCGCATCGCACTTCGCGGGAAACGCACCTCGAAACACGCTCGTTAAACTATCACCGCGCGATCCTCTAATTTTCAACCCCTACGAACAATGTTCAGAAAGACGTAAACATCCCTTGTTCGTGCCGATTCCGCTCTTGTGAATCGCCTTTCGCCTTTACGTTCTTCGTTTCCATCTCATTCGAAAGTGTTGACTTCGATCTTCGATGTGTTCGTAATTTCTACAGATGCCTCCTGAAACTTTTCTTCGATTTCAGAATTCGGGTACTTGATATTTCCCGTAACGCGTTGGGCATAAATTACTCGAATTCAAATACAGTGAGTGTCAGCTATAATATGATTTGTTGCATTCGTTTATGGTGAACATAAATCAGGTCATATTGAAAAATTGGTCGGGTGTATCTCAATCCTTACTTACCCGTGAAATATTCTCAGTCTTTAAGAGTGTAAATGAGCGAACCACACTCAAATGATTTTGTTGGCAATCTTTCATCGAACGCAGCGACCAAGTGTGTAATAAGTAAGAATCGAGTGTGTATTATCGTAAAGTCCCTTTTCCGATTTCTCTTCCGTATCTAATGTGAGTCGGTAAAGTATATTTCGTATAATTAGCACAATATTCTGCTGAAAATAACGAAGGAGCGGTGTAGGTACTCAATACCCAAGCATATTCATGCGCTACGATGAGTTCCCCGAAAAGAATGATATAGCTTTAATCACAATTTTTAGAGGTTTGATGAGATGTGATACCAATCTAAGCTGCGCAAGAGGTATGCAATGCTTGACCTTATAGTAGAAAATTTTTAAAACCTAAAATTGACAGTTTTACAGCATATAGTTGGTAAAAAGCTGCTCGTGCCAATGGACGAGGCAGAACAAACGATGTTAAAGTCGACCGCTCAACCACCGCATTTGAGCTACGAACGATATTGGAATATAATTATTCTTAGGAGAAGGTGCCAACCACGATGATAAAGAAACAAAGACTGCATATCTTGTTACTGTACCTGAAAATTCTCTTTATCTGCGAGGAGTCCAAGTTATGCATCAGAATTCTAAGAACACCCCCACTTCCTGCATGAACCGACGCGGTTCGGTCTTGCATCCGGCAAAACTGTGAAACGAAACTAGGAAATTGCGGGAAAATCCAAAACTGGATTTAAAACTAGTGATCCGGAACTCTCTGGCATCGAAGACAGTCAAATTGCTCGGGCAGTGTCTGAGGAGAACGCGCGAGACGTTTTTCGGTTTGATCTCGTCAGTGCGGATTGTTTGGTGATTCGGGGGCTCTCATGACTCTTCGGGTTCTCGCGATAGGGTTGGTTTAACTCCGGAGCTGAGATTCCGCGGGACGCTTTTACTGAGAGTCGGGCAAGGGTGGAAGTGGTAGGATGTGGCAAGATGATCCAGGCTGACAGGATAAACTGGCGTCGTCGACAGAAGGGCCTGAACCGAGTGCCGCCTCTGCCCTAATCTCTTCTTCCCGGACTATGGGAATTTGCTTGGATACAGGTGAGGACATTTCAATATCCGGAACTTTCTTACTGAAAAAAAAAAAACATATTGGATCTAGAGTCCAGACTCTTAAAAACATCGACAAGAAAAAATACTCTCGATTAAATCAGATTTAAGCTTAAATGGGCTGCATTTTGCAATTTGGAACTACAAATTCTGGCCCGGTTTAAAAACAACGTATGTGGCATTAATTTCCCTATGCACATAAGTGTTTTCTCAGATGAGTCAGAATTTATAGTTCCAAATTGCAAAATACAGTCCAAATCAAGAACCAAGCCTCTTAATTTGAGCGGATTTCCTTTTGATTTAAGCAAAAATCTGATTGAATCAAGAGTCCTTTTTTTTGTCAATATTTTCAAGAGTCTGGACTCTAGATCCAATGTGTTTTTTGTTTTTTTCCAGTGCTCAACACGAACTGCGGCTGATTGCTGAAATCGGTAGACAAAACCATAGACAAAGAAGACAAAAAGGATATGGAGGAATCCCATTCTCACTTTTTTTATTAACTTTATCGGTCATATTTATCAAGATGTTATGAAACCTTTCTCTTATCAATTTTTCCAAATGTTGATGCTTTTACTTTTCCATTACGGCCGTTTCAAGAAACCGCTCATCGTCAGGCGTTAAAAATTTTAACACAGGTCAAATCATCAGATGTTAAAAACACCTGACGATGAGGGGTTGCTCGAAACGGCCCTAGTGGAAAAGTAAAAGCATCAAAATTTGGAAAAATCGGTAAGAAAAAGGTTTCATAACATTTTGAATCCTATTCTGCCGAGCTGAGGAAGAACACCGTATGAGCTTCCAAATGTTGCCAAATTTCTTTTGAAAGAACACAAGTGTTCGGAAAAATTGTAAATATTTTTCTGCCGATTTTTCGGGAAATTTTGTTTGCAGTTTGTTTTAAAATTTCTGAAAATTTTGAGGAAGAATAACCATAACTTTATTCAAAGATAAATTTTTCCGGGAGGAAATTTGGCAACGTTCGAAGGCTCATTCGACGTTCTTCCTTACCTCGGCGGTATTGCGGTGAAAGCGGCTGGTTGCAATGGACACGGGAGAGTAATAAACTGACGAACGGCAACCCACGAGAGACCCTTATTGGTTAGTCCTTAATTTTTCTCCCGTAGTCTGTAAGAACCTTCCCGTTTCAACCAATAGGATCGCTCCATACTCCTTACGTCCTCGTTGTCGATCGCTTTGTCTATCAATTTCAACAATCAGCCCTCAGACTACGGAAAATATCTCAGAGATCTCACCTCCCAGCTTGTGGTGTGAAAATTTCTTTCATACATTATTTGGATTTAATACAAGTAGATCTTTTGCACAAGAGAGATGAAGCTCTTGCATGTGTGGGGGATTTGCGATCGAAGCACTTTTTTCTGCTATAAAATGTCCTGGACCTCAGATAAGTCTGTATCGCCATCGACCTGCGGAATGATAAGATCGTCGTAATTAACATGGAGCACATCATGGGAACAGGGCAAGGGAAAGGATGAGCGACGAGCGTTGACACCGGCGCTCTGATACAACTATTCGAGCTTGGTGGATGTCCGTGTTGCGTCTGCAGAATTGAAGGCGCGATGGCGCGAGGCGTGAATTTGAAAACAGCGCAACATGGGAACAGAGCAAGGGAAAGGATGAGCGTTGAAGGCGGCGCAGTGATACAACTATGGAGATGTTGCATGTGTGAGGAATTTGCGATTTGACTGTTGATTCTTGTGTAAAATTTTGCGAAAAAATGATGGTGCCACTGGTTTTCTCTGAAATGAACTCCAAAGCTCAAAAAAAGATCTCAAAGTTGAGGTCGTAATGAAGGGAATCCTCTACATTTGGAGAGAGACCACCTCTTTAACCAATCAAATTATCCATACAAAGATAGAGATCAAATATATTAGCAGGGTTGCCGTGGTTCCAGTTTCGCAGTCCCCAAACAAAGTGGCAACCCTGTGATGTATTCGCTTCCTATCTTTACATGAAGAGTTTGGCTGGACCAGAGAAAACCTTGCCCACAAATAAACAGTCTCGTGAAATAGTTCCGCATGAGTTCAAAAGGCCGCTTTTTGGTTGAGAAGTGTATGATCCTCAGACGCGCGAATCGACCTCTCTAATCGGCAGAATTGAAAGTTTAGTTCAACGAACCAGGGAGGTCTGTCTCGGTGTCTCGGTTTGCCAAACCCAAAATTTCGGTCCTCACGGATCATACCCCCTACGAACCAGAATTAATGGTTCGTTGAACTGAGCCTTCAGTTTGCAGATCTGAACTTTTAGTTGGTAAAACCGAACCCTCGGTTCACGATCACAATCGTTACAGCACAGTTCTTACTTGACTCGCGCTCAAATTGAACAGTGGCGGGCCGTGAACTATCGATTATCGATATTTCCCCATTTGAAGCTGTGGTAAAGAATCGATTATTAAGGTTCTCGATGCGAACACCCTGTTTATCGATCCTTCTCCATTGGTTTAAATGACAAATCAATCGATACATCGTAAAGCACGCCACGCCACTGAAATTGAAGTATACCTATCAACCAAAGGAAAGATTCATTTCGAAGTCAGTTTTTGGGTGGCATGATGCAAAAGAGAATACACATTTATTGGAAGAAAAAAAAATCTATTTGATTCAAAGATATCGCATTTTAGGAGACAGCGCGTAAGTGCGTATAAACACTCGTTGGCAGATACGCGATGATCCATCGAGAACCAGCTTATAGTTCCTGTTTGAAAAAACTTAAATATCTCAAGGCTCATTGAGCAGAAAGTAATATAGCGATTACCTCGTACCTGTCATCGAGTTCTCATCAATAACGAGGCGTGAATGATCGAATATCGATATTTCCCCATTTGAAACTATGGTGAAGAATCGATTATAAAGGTGTTCGTCGCAAACACCTTGTTTATTGATCATTTTTAAATCATCCTAAATGATTACCTCGTACCTGTCATCGAGTTCTCATCAATAACGAGGCGTGAATGATTGAATATCGATATTTCCCCATTTGAAACTATGGTGAAGAATCGATTATAAAGGTGTTCGTCGCAAACACCTTGTTTATTGATCATTTTTCATAGGTTTAAAGGGCAGATGAATCGATACATCTCAAAGCACGCCACGCTACTGGTTCTCATAGGCGCACTTATAAGCCGTTTTATTCTAAAACATAATGTCATCCAATTATGATGGTAGTATCCCTGCTGTGCAGATGTGTTTTTATAGTTGAGCCGGATAAATTGTGGTGCCTTATTATAAAATACAGTCAAAATTGCCTAGAGAACTAGTTACGCAGATAATTATTAGGACAATCAAGCATATTTTGTAAAATAGATATTTCAGTACGGTTGAATGGACGCATTTCCTAGGAATTTTAGCCTAGCATAGGTACATCAAATATTGATCAATTTTTGTTAAAATTGTATTTATAAACAAGAAACCAAACAACGAAATGCAGACTTAAAAATACGTAGGTTAATTACATTTAATATAGTAGGAATTTAAGTTTCAAGCAGTTTTGAGTTTTAGTTCTCTGTCAACACAATAGCACATAAGAAGAAAATGGGGAGCGGCATGCAATTAGGCTGAGTCTGGCTAAATTTGCCTATTAATTCCTTGAAAATGACAAAAAGTCCCGAGATATTTACAACTTGGCTAATGAAAGCAACATTTTCTGAGTTTCGCTGTAAAAATAACGTATGAAAAGGGAAAAGAAGAGGGGAAACTATTGCTAGGGAGTTGCCCTTATTGAATAGGATGAGTATGAGCTTATTATCAAATACAACTATTCTGCCGCGCATGAAGAAGAACACCGTATAAGCCTTCAGACGTTACCATATTTGCTTCAATAAAAAACGCATTTCCTGAGCAAATGGTTAAAATTTTTCTCCAAAATTTTCCGACAATCTTGTCCGCAATTTAATCTAAAACATGCTAAAATTCCAAGGAAAACTAAGCATAACTTTTCCCAAAGATACGAGTTTTATCCGGATAAATTTGGCAACTCTCGAATGTTCAAACGGCATTTTCCCTCAGAACGGCAGTATCGATGATGGTAGGCAATGCTACCGTGCACTGGAAAAAAGAACACATTGTATCTAGAGTCCACACTCTTAAAAACATCGACAAGAAAAAATACTCTTGATTCAATCGGGAACCAAGCCTCTTAATTTGAGCGGATTTCCTTTTGATTTAAGCTTAAATCTGATTGAATCAAGAGTATTTTTTCTTGTCAATGTTCTCAAGAGTCTGGACTCTAGATCCAATGTGTTTTTTTTTCCAGTGTGCTAAGGGAGAACGCCGTATAAACCCTCGAGAGTTGCCAAATTTGCCTTGAGAAAATATGTATTTTTGACAACATTCATGCATATTTTCCCTTGAAATTGTCAGATATCTTAGATTAAATTACGTACAAAATTGTCCGAAAATTTTGGAAAATAATGTTCACAATTTTCCCTGTATTTTCGGTATTTATCGAAGGAAATTTGGCAACTTCTAGGGCTCATACGGCGTTCTTCCTCAGCACGGCAGAGCGGCGGCAACTATGCTGGAAACGGAATTTGATGTAAATGAAGGGAGCCGCGACTGTGGTGGGGGGAGGGGAAGGGGAAGATTCTTTGAATCCTATGTGATTTGATGCCGATAAGCTGTTATCCTTGAGACACTTGGGAATCCTTGGGAATCTTGTGAATGGGAACCGAGTAAATCAATCAATGAACCAATTTACGACGTCATCGCCGCTTCACTCTATGCAAACGTGTTGAGCATTTCTCCGGCTCACTCGCTTTCTTGTCTCACTCATTTCTTATGCACTGAAGGCTTAGCATATTGTCACATCGCCGATTCATATCAACAACATACAAGAGACCCCTGACTCGAGTCGAGGAAAAATCCGAGAGTATTTCAGTCGCGAAAAATATGAGCTTAGTTTGTGAAACACTATCCTAATATCTGCATTGCTGAGGAAAAGCGCCGTATGAACCCCACGATATTGCCATATTTCCT